CTCGCTGGCAATGTCATAGTACGAACCATCATCTTCATCTTCTTGCCAGTGCACTCCGGTGTAGTCGGTGTCCGGCTCATACGGCTCTTGCCATGTGCCCTCCTCTGAGTAGAACATGTCGTAGGTCGGCTTCTGCTTGTGGGCATGGCCACCGCGGGAGGCGTCCACCTTGGAGTCCTGACCCATGATGAAATTCATTGCGCGCTCAACGGCAGCCAGGTTAAGGCGCTCAGTGCCGATCTGCGTCATGACCATCTGGCGCTGGTCTCGGCTGACGCCACTCCTCCGCAAAAACCACCAGGCTTTGACCTTCTCCGGCAGCTCCACCTGATGCGACGCCCGAAGCCTGCGCTCCACCCGACCGAACTCGGTCTGATACTCCTGAAGCGTCTGGCCGGCTTTCCGCTGCAGCTTCACGAAGAAAGCCTCGAAGTCGTCTGGCAATTCCGTCATCAGGTCCGGCTTGAAGGCAGCATCCAAACGACCAAAAACCTTGTCTAACGCGTCCTCCTTCTGAAGGTCGGCCATCTCCATATCGTCCACCAAATCCCAAGCTCTGCCGGTCATCAGCGTCACCAGGTTGAAGACCACTTCCTGTTGACGCCCGGCAAGCTCCATCTTCTTCTTGTAGAGCTCGGCCCTCTTGCGGTACTCACGGTAATCCTTCTGCAGATTGCTGAAGACCGGAACGTGTGAGTCCGCTTTGCCGGTGTAGGCATTCTCTGAGGGCTGCTCACTGCCATTTCCCTCGGCCTTGGGCATGATCGTGCCGCCGAGCTCCTCAAGGGCGAAACCAAACTCCCTGTGCCGGTCTCCGCCGGCCTTGCTACCACAACAAGATCTCGAGGGCGAACGAAGTCCCTCAAGCACTCAGCGCGCTGCCGGAAGGCAGACTCTTTTGCATGGGCGCGGCCGCTTGACTCAAGTACCTAGGTGGCCCACCACATCTTGAGGTGAATGGCCACGTGTTCACATAAATGTTCCAAGAATGCGGCGCGTTCTTCACACCCTTTTGGCTCGTAAAGAACATGCAGAATTCTAAACGAAGGCGGATAATGTGAGCATGCGCAGTATAAAATCTCGCAAACAGGCCGCGCTCCTTTTCTTTGGCCCAAAGATGGCTTAATGGTCGGACCAAGCAACTACCAAGAAAACGAGCAACCAACACTCAGAGGAGAAGTGTTGGTTTTGCCAATAGTTGTTGTTTGTGTTCTCGAGTTTCTTTGTAGCTTTCGCAGTGTTGTATAGTACCTTTGGCATTGTCCTACCAAAAAACAAAGAAACTCAAGGTTGTGTGTTGTTCCTTGTGACACTCACCAGAAAGAAGAAACCTTGAGTTGTTGCTGTTGCTTGTTGGGCAAGATAATGCCAAACCGCCGCAGCAACTCTGAGGGACCCAAAAAAATCAACATGCTCGGGTAAACCAACAAGCAACAACTTGTAGAAAAAACAAAACTTCTCCTTTGAGTTTGTGTCTTTTGACAATCTTTTGGTCCGACCCTGGTTCAGCCATTTTTGGACCAAAGTAAGGACTGTGACTTGTCTACAATATGAAACAGTCTGCAAGTATCATTCCCCATTGGTGTTATAGTTCGGCGTGTTACTTGTTGCACTACTTCTTCTTTCAGCAAGGGTTGACAAAGTCACGCCACGGCCTTCCCCCCTTCCTTGGCGCCCCATTACAAAGAGTCCTGACAACAGATAGCTGAAGCAAGGGAAACAGGGGGCACCCCGGGGTACCCTATGCATATCCCCCCCTGCTCCTCCGTTTTGCTTGGTTTGAGAGCGCTGGCTGTATAGCTTTGATGTTTGCAGTAGGTGCACCGTTTTGCTTGGTTTGAGCAGGCAGGATGTAGTCTTTAAACTATGTTTGCAGCAAAGTTAAGCAGAGATTTGCAGGCTTGCAGTGCATCACGTCCATTACATCAACTTTTGGACAGTGAACAATTCCATTGCACAATTCCAAGACAACACATTCCAAGCAAAAATGTATCAACATGTTGGCATGCTAGAAGCCTCTGGAATGCATAGAAACTGGGCCCGCACAAGGAACCTTAGGTACTCCTTGCACGGAAAGCATCATTTACTCTGTTGTAGGTAAGATTACGTCTGCGTAGCAACACACAACAAATACATTTTTTATGGATTGAAGATTCGCAACTGGGAACACTTTCTCCAAAATCTTGACTCCAGAAAGAAGGTCATAGAGTCAGTTTAAGACTCTAGCTAGTGTGTGAAACCATTTTACTTTGGTTTTGGACAGAAATCAATTTCATTACAAGAGTAAGAGAAAATAAGCGTTCCATTCAAGATGAAGACATGCCAGACCCCCGGTAAATTACAGAAATTGGACCAACACCTGGAACCAAAGGGAAAAGCATCTTTCCAATTTTCAAAATCACAATTGCCCAGGAAAGCTTTGTCCATATTCCTGACTTCAGAAAAAGACGGGTATTCAATTTTGATTCTCACCCATACACGTGGTTGTGAACCTTTTTTGCCAGCTTGCCCCCTGAAATTATGACCGTTTGGGAGGTGCCATGTTAAAAGGGTTTTAAATGTTTGGGGGTCACTTTCCAACTTAGGAGTTCCTAGTCCTAGGCATTTAGCCGAGAATGGCTCAGCGACACCCATGAAAAGCAAATGCTAAGGCTTGAATTCGGGAATCTCGCCCCAAACCCAAAGAAGGCTTGACATTGAAGAGAGGGTCCTGTGGGCGAAGCCCCCTTGTGTTACAGTGTACCTCTCGTCTGTGGCTGATAAAACAATTGATGGTTTGGGGGACACTTCAAAAACAGGAAATTCTAGATCCAAGGGCGTTAGCATCTGAGTTGAGAAATACTTAGATGCACTACCCTTTAGCGCAAGGCTAAGGCTTGCCATGATAATTATTGTTTGTCTTTTGCTGCCAGAGGACCCGCAGTCCCAATAGAAAAGAACAACACGTATAGGAGCCCCATTTACAAAGCGGGTCTATCATTTAGCCCAGTTGGACACTCCAACAGCAAGAAATCGATAGTAACAATTTATCTTGGTCCTTTTAGCATTTATCTCTTCATTGTGTGTCGCTTTCTAGTTTACGCTTGTTGTTTGTGTAGCATGGTCATTTCTTTTCGATCGACTTCTCTCCAAGATTTGTCATTTTCTATGTCTCCATCTCTCAGACACTAATCTGTCCAAAACTTCACCTGCAGAAGAGTGGAAAGGAGGAAGGGTGAAGCGATCCCTTCTCCCAGCTAATAATTGGATCGATGTGTCTCATCCGTCTCTGAGGTAGGCACACGGGTCTTTCAAAGACAGGTAAGAAAGAGACGGATGGACTCACTCACCTTGCCTGCATATGCTTTTTGTTTTTAGTGGAGCTAGGCAATCACCATTTCTAGCCGTGTAAAGAGATTATAGTGCTTGGTGAGCAACTCTCTATTCCCCAGCCCTTCCGGAATCCTAGAGCCACTCCAAACCATTCCAGAGCCTACCCGCGCAAAGACCCCAACGCTTGCAGCTGTTGAGGACAAGGATAGAACAAAGTAGGCCAAGCTTCATATTTTGCAATACATAGTCCTTTGGGACAGGCCTTAGGTGCCTGGAAAGACTGAAAAGTACGCTGAGGATTGGGTCACTATGCCTGCCAGAACTCTGGGCAAGACTTGCTCCTCCCGAAGCGACGAACTTCCAGCTCCTGCAAGATCGCTTCGATCGAAAACGGTATTCAGCATTGAACAGGGCTTTGCTACGGGAAGTCAGCCACCAAAGCGCAGCACAACACGACCGTGGGCTTGTTTGCAGGTCCACACAATCAGTCTTTCTCATTGATGATGATTGAATGTGTAATTAGATTTGGAATTCGTTGTTTTTCTCGCTCCGAGGTGCTACCACACGCCTACCTACATAGCCGTCATAACAACATCCAACAAGGAAACATCATTTTGATAAAATGACATGGCTGGTCACATGTGCCATGTCAGGACTCCTTGTGTCACTGTCATGGCTTCCTTCATAGGTACCGCGACAGTGGTTGTCTTTTTCACCCAAAGAAGTCCACAATCATCCTCACCCCGAACAGTGGTTTAACCATTCATCTTGGCCCACATCTGGGGGACGCAGAAAAATCATATGTTCAGACTGCGTTATATGGTCCACCCTAAAACAATGAATCGTCTTGTGATCGGAGGCCCCAGATTCATTATATCTTTCTGTCCAGTTGCAAGTCTCGTATGCAGGTCACAGTGCTTCACTTCGGCTTTGCTTCTCGTGTTCACAGAAACCCTTTGGCTCGCTTGACCTGCTTATTGTAATTACCTTGCCCTGACCTCCGGTGCATTTCCTCGACATTCGCAGGGGTCCCTATATTTTCCCTTTCAAGATCACCCCGCTGAGAGGAAAGATGCTTCAAACAAGCCACAGAGTAAAAAAGGCTGAGTAAGGACCTAAAGGTCTCAAAGCCTCAAACCAAACCGTCCTCTGAGGAAAGCAGCTCCAGGAAGGTGTTCCGCTGGAAAACGAAGATGTTTGCCATGGCTGACAACGCTCAAGGTTCTGATTTGATGATAAATCACTTGGCAAAATGCTGCAGAGAAATGACGTGAGAGCGCAAAGCAGTCGGAAGTGCACCAGCCATATCAGACGGAGACCCTGAGAACAGTCGAGCTTGTTCCCCGACTTGATCTATATTCCACACCCCACTGACACGGGCAAAAAATGGCACCTCCTTCTTTTGGTATCTTTTGGTGTTCCTTAAAGGAAACCCCGCTCCAAGAAAAAGAGGCACCATGGGAGGGTGAATCCTAATTCACTGATTCACAACCCGAAATTATCTGAAAGGAACCTTCGCAGGAACAAATCGCTAGTTTCCTCCCCCATCGGTGAATTCCTGACGAGTTTCCCCCGACTCCACAACGGCCGTTCCTGTCGTTGCGTTTCCCGTTTCCCCCCGTTTCCCGGTTTCCTGGTACGACTTCCCCGCTCTCCCCGGTTCGTTTCCATGGTCGACCGCCATTCGGCTACTTCTCGCCGCGGAGCTTTGTGATGTCTCCCTGGTACTCCGCCAACGGCCGAAGCAGCTCCGCTGGGGGCAGCACCTGGATGAAGCGTTCACACCTCAGGCGCGATTCACGTGTGCCGTGGGACACGGCCCCTCCAAATGGGTCTGTGCTGTTCTGAGGGTACGGGTTTGGGGTTAAAGGGAAAGCCAAAGGACAGTCACCATGGGGTGTTCCTGTTTTGACACCCAGAAAATATGACTTGCCCAATCAACCAAAACTGCCCTCTCAATGGTTGAAGGATACAACGGCACAGGTCCGAAAAGACTCCAGTCATCCACGTGCATTGCCAGCGAACATGTGGAAGCTGACTGTGGAAAGAGTACTTGTGGGGAACCTCTATCCACTTGCATGGTTGGCCAAAGAAAAGGACATTTCAATTGTCATGTCCCGCGAAACTAAAAAGCAACATGACTTTTGGATATGCCAGCCGCTTGGTATGTGGTCAGGGAGGTCACTTGGCAAACCAGATAGAACAGCCAAGGAATCCCTGGAGCCTTGCATCCAGATTCCAGATGCATCCGGGCTTCTCTTCGGCCGACAAAGGGCAATCTGCAGGATGCAGCTGATCTAGACTTTCCGCCAGTCCTGCATTGCAAGAAATACCATGTCTTCCACCGGCCTTGGGTCTCTTTTGAAAGGCGTCACAAACAAAGCCGGGCTGGGTCTGACTGTGTTGTTGAGAACAGCGTGGACATTCCTCTGAAAATTCAGCGCTGCCAACCTTGAGCCAGCTTAAAGCAGCAATTGATCCAACAGCGCAATTCGATGTGTAGCCAAAGGAAATTTAGATGGAACTTCTGCGTTGCGGACACAAATTGAAGGCAGAAAGAATGAATGCATGCGAGAAAACATGCGTGGGCATACGGCGGGGGAATAGCACATCGCACGCACCTTCTGCGGGTTTTGGCGTCTCCGGCAGGCTGAAAGCGCAGCATTTTGGCAACGCTGGCACGGACGCTTCGTGAGGATTTTGCGGCAAGCGCATCACTTTTGCAAGGTCAAGTGCGAAGCGGCGAAGTGCGTGGTAAGCGCAGCGCTTTCGCAAGAACCAGGTTTTGTGGCAGGCGCTTCACTTTGACACGTACAGGTTTCGTGGTATAAGCGCAGCACCTTCCAAGGCCAAGTGCAGATTGCGTGGTAGGCATAGCACTTTCGCAAGGTCAGGTACAGATTTCGTCGCATTCGCAGCGCTTTCAGAAGATAGAGGAAAAACAATAGACGAGAAATAGGTAGATAGACGGCTGGATGGCCAGATGGCTAGATTAGATAGATACAAAATAGTTTAAAAATGGAAGTATTGGAAGAATGACGCGTACATCGACAATATAGTTCGATAAACAAGAACACAAACTAAAAAACTAAATGGCTAGATAAATCAGATAGATACAAAGATATATATATATATGTGTATATGGAAAGGATAGCCAAATGGATAGGTGGGTAGGTAGATAGGTTAGATAGAGATATATGGAGATATGAATGGATGGATGGATGGATGGATGGATGGATGGATGGATGGATGGATGGGATACACAGATAGATATATAGATAGCAAGACAGAGACGTACATAAGATAAGGTAAGGCAAGACACGAGAAGAACAAATGAGACAAAACAATATAATATAATATAAACAAGATAATGTCAGATAAGAAAGATCGATAGAGAGCTCGATAGATAGATGGATAGATTATATATATATATATACATACGGATGAATAGAGACGTGGATAGATAGATCGATGGAAATAGACAGATGTGTACATACATATATGGATAGAAAGATAGACAGATAGATGGAGGGATGGATGGACGGATAGATGGAAAGATGGAGAGATGGATAGATGGATAGCTGGATACATGGATAGATGGATAGATAGTAGACAGATAGACAGATAGATAGATAGATAGTAGATACGATAGATAAAATAGATAAGATAGATACGATAGATTAGATAGATTAGGTAGATTAGATACATTAGACAGATTAGATAGATTAGATAGACTAGATAGACAAGATAGATACGATAGATAAGATAGATAACATAGATACAATATATATATATATAGAAAGATAGATACGATAAGACAGATAAGATAGATAAGATAGACTAGATAGATTAAATAGATTAGATATATTAGATATATTTGATAGATTAGAGATAGATTAGATAGATTAGATAGATTAAATAGATTATATCGATTAGATAGATTTGATAGAAAAGATAGATTAGATAGATTAGATAGACTAGATAGATTGGATAGATTTGATAGATTAGATAGATCAAAGAGATTAGATAGATTAGATAGATTAGATAGTTAGATCGATTAGACAGATTAGATAGATTAGAAAAACAGGTAGATTAAATAGATAGATAGATATATAGATGGATGGATGGATGGATGGATAGATAGATAGATTAGATTAGATTAGAACAGATTAGATTAGATTAGGTTAGATAGATAAACAGATAGATAGATGGATAGATAAATATATATATATATATCTATCTGATAGATAGATAGATAGATAGATAGATAGATAGATAGATAGATAGATAGATAGATAGATGGATGGATGGATGGATAGATAGATAGATAGAGAGATAGATAGATAGGATAGATGGATAGATGGATAGATGGATAGATGGATAGATGGATAGATGGATAGATTCATGGCTGGATGGATGGATGGATGGATGGATGGATGGATGGATGGATGGATGGATAAATAGATAGATAACTATAATAGACTATAACCAGCAAACATGAATGACAAATATGCGATCTGCACACAACAAAGGAACCACTCCTGCTCATGGCCTCTCAATGCGGCTCAGTGCATTTGGTCTAATTTCCTTAATGTCCTCAACTTGTGTTCCTCTTGGTTTCCCCGCAAACAACCCAAAACCCGGTGCCCTTTTTTTAGACTTTAGAGGCTTGTCCAAAGCCCGTGAACAACTCTATGGAAACGAAAAACCAACCAATCAACCAAACAACCCGCCGGTATCTCCTCCAACCTTAAGAATCACAACCGCCTCGGACTTGCGAACCCTCAAAAAACAATGCCCTCCTCACCCAAAGCTCGATCCCATTAAACATATGCTCAGCCGCAGGAAAGAAAGCAAAGAAATTCGTCCTGCGGTGTCCAGGCGCAGCTTCTTCAACACGATGGCCACGTTCTGCGCCGCGGAGCGCGGCAGAAGCTCGAGGCCCCGCGGGCTCCGCACCCGGGTCCTGGGGAAGCGAGAGGCCAACACATGTAGCCAATTTACCGCTAAAATGGGTCCAAACCAAAGTTTGAAGTCCAACTCAAGTGGGAAAAAATGGTAAAAGGCGAAGGCACCCTTTTGTGGGAGTATCCCTCACTAACCTTCCTCTACCCAAGTGTTGATTGTGGCTCAAATGGACACCAAAAACGGGAAAGGGGGTAGGCGTTTCCTGGTTTACACAAGTCCTAAACATTTGGATGGAGAACACCCTCCCAAATGGTTGGACATGAATCCCCATTGCCAAGGCTCCGGAATGAAAGATTGATCCCCAAATGACACGCCGTCAATACTTGTCGTTTCCACGCGATGATGGGAGGGGCCAAATTGGGGGAGGGACCTCCGTTTCCTTGTAAGAAGTTGTCTGTCGGGCGCTGTAAGCAACTCCTTTCCGGCCTGCAATCCGATCCCGCGGTGCCCAGAACTCAAGCAAAACTATGGCACCCAACCCACTGAGCGAAAAGGGGCGTTAAGCTGGTAGATGGGCAAGATGGGTGTGATTCAATACCTCGCAAGCGGTTTGCATCTCTGAGAGATGTTACACCATTGTGCACAAGCAGCATGACCAAACGGAGTAGAATCGTATGGTCTGAAGCGAAAGCGCAGGGTGATATGAGATACAAACCTTTAGCTGCAACGCCACCTCTGCTTCAACGCCATCCTTATGGCTTGGCCCTCTTCTATGCCTTCATACACAGTGCCGGTGTATCTCTCTGTCCGTCTGTCTATCTCCACCTGTCTCTGCGTATCTGTCTATCTCTGTCTGTATATGTCTGCCTCTGTCTGTATTTGTCTGTATCGGTCCGTACCTGTCTGTACCTGTCTGTATCTGTCTGTGTTTGTATCTGTCTGTGTCTGTATCTGTCTGTATCTGTCTGTACCTGTCTGTACCTGTCTGTCGGTCGGTCTGTCTGCCGGTCTGTCTGTCTGTGTCCGTATGTGACTCTGTCTGTCTCTGTTTGTCTCTGTCTGTCTAAGAGTCTGATCAAGCAGCATGACCTCTAACATACCATACAACTCAAGGAATTTTCCGCACAATTGTCAGCTCCCTTGCGACCCATCCCATCCTCGCGGACATCACCGCTTCCTTTGCCTGCGCCCCAAAGGTGTTGCGCAAGGCCTCGCCGCGACTCGCACTAGGGTTGCCACAGGATATGAGTGTGTCGGGATTCCCAAAATGTTCAAAGCCGTCATACAGCCAAGGAAAAGGGACGAGCCATCAATCTCAGTCGCGCAAGGACCCGGAAATGAATGGTTGATCTGTTGGGACCATCACCAAATATGGCCAAACATGGGAAAACCAAAAGGTCAAACGTTCGGCTTTGACCAACTGAGAAATAAAGCACACCTAGGTGCCGGAACGGGAAGAGCTTTGGGAACGACATGTAGGCCTGTGGCTTGAGAGCGTCGTGCAGCCCTTGATCTAGTCGGTTCCATGATCCCCCTTTGAGAAAAGGGAAAGTCTCCGGTTGGAACAGGTTGCCCAAAAACACAAAAAGCCAATGGGTCGACATTCAACACCAAAAACCCACCAGTTCGATTTGGTGGCCGGGGTCAGGGTGGGTTCAAGGTTGGGTTTAAGGATTATTTACGCTAAGTTTGAGTGAGGCTTGGTGCTTCTTTAGGGTGGGCTTAGGTTGGATTGCTTGTTTAGTGTGGTGTTGGCTTTGTTTCGGGTTTGCTTCAGTCTGTTCAGGGTTGGAATAGCGTGCGTTTAGGACTGGTTTAGGGTGGGTTGAGGGTTGGTTTAGGCTGAGGTTGGGTTCAGTTGGTTTAGGGCTGGCTTTTGGTGGGGATAGAGCAAGCTGGCTTAGGGTGGCTGCAAGGTTCCCGATTCGGTAGAGCAGGTTTAGGGTGGTTTTGGGGTTGGTTTAGGATTGGCTTCTGGGTGGGTTTGGTGGGTATTTAGGGTTGGCTTAGGATAGTTTGGGTTCAGGGATGGTTTGGCGCTTGTGTAGGGTAGGGATTTGCATAGGGTGGTTTTAAGTGGCTTAGGGTCGGTTTAGGGTAGGTTAGAGCTAGAGTTCGTTCATGGATTGTTTCTTGCTGGTTTAGAGTTGGTTGGTTTAGGTTGGTTTAGGCGGGTTTAAGCTTGCTTTAGGGTTTCTCTAGGGTGGGCATAGGGTTAAAGGCTTGGTGTAAGGTTGGTGTAGTTCTGATGGTCAAAATGTGGCTGGAGGGTGAGCTTTGGAGTTTTTGGGTTCGTCCAGGGTTGGGTTAGGAATTGTGGTTGTTTGTTTAGGGTGGCCAGGGCAGATTTAAGGTTGGTTTAGGGTTGGCTCAAGGTTGGTTTAGGGTTGGTTCAATTGCTGGTGCTCCAAAAGGGGTTTAGGTTGGGCTCTGGATTCTTTAGGGTTCGTTCAGGATTGGGTGGGGATTTGTTTAAGGTCATCACAAAGCCAAACAACGGCCCTGTAAAGAAGCGGGGTGGTTGAGGGGGGGGGGGGCAGCCCCTCCAAGAACACAAATAAAGACCCACATTTGTTGAGAAGGTGCATGATGGGGGGGGGTTTGCAGGTGATGGGGGGCGTGGTGCTGATGATGATGCTGAGGAAGGAAAGCCGAAGCCACAAAACCGCCAAAAGCTACGAGAAAAAAAGAAGGGTCGAGATTTAATTTGGGATTTTTTTGTTTTATTTTGGGATTTTTTTTTGTTTTCCGTCCTGGCTACTAAAATGCTGTAATTTACAGAAATGTACGTATTTTACGCTAGTCCGTCAACATCATCAGCATCGTTTTCAACATCCCCCGCATGTCCAGCCAACATCCCCAGCATCACCAGCAAATTGGCTTCCCGCATCTCATGGTAAAAGTGAGGATTCAAATACGGGCAAACTAATCCCTGTAAAACACCTAAAACGTGGCGGCAGCCCCCCCCATGATCATTGAAAAAGTGACGACGGCAGCCCCCCCCATGATGATTGAAAAAGTCTAAAAAATTGCGGGGGGGTTGGGGGCGGCGGCAGCCCCCCCCATGATGATCGAAAAATTAAGGGCAAAGAATCTAAAAAGGATCGGTCGCATGATGATCGAAAAAGTGATGATTCAATTCGGGGCAAAAAGTCCAACAAATAGCGGGGGGGTTGGGGGGGCGGCAGCCCCCCCCATGATGATTGAAGAAGTGATGATTCAAAAAGGGCCAACAAATATTTAAAAAAGCAGCCGGGGGTCATCAGTTCCTCTGCGGCAAGGCCTCATGGTACAAGTGAGGATTCAAACACGGGCAAACTAATCCCTGTAAAACACCTAAAACGTAGCGGGGGGGGGGGGCAATTCCCTCCATGATGATGATGAAAAAGTGATGATTCAATCAGGGGCAAAAAGTCTAAAAAATTGCGGGGATCGGCAAAAAGTCCAACAAATAGCGGGGGGGTTGGGGGGGGGCGGCAGCCCCCCCATGATGATTGAAGAAGTGATGATTCAAAAAGGGCCAACAAATATATTTAAAAAAAAAGCAGCCGGGGGTCATCAGTTCCTCTGCGGCAAGGCCTCATGGTACAAGTGAGGATTCGAATACGGGCAAACTAATCCCTGTAAAACACTTAAAACGTAGCGGCTGGGGGGGGGCGGCTCCCCCCCATGATGATTGAAAAAGTGATGATTCAATTAAAGGCGCGGGGGGGTTGGGGGGGGCGGCAGGCCCATGATGATCGAAAAAGTGATGATTCAATCAGTCTAAAAAATTGCGGGCGGGTTGGGGGGGGCGGCAGCCCCCCCCATGATGATCGAAAAATTAGGGGCAAAGAATCTAAAAAGTAGCGGTCGCATGATGATCGAAAAAAGTGATGATTCAATTAGGGGCAAAAAGTCCAAAAAATCGCGGGGGGGTTGGGGGGGGCGGCAGCCCCCCCCATGATGATTGAAAAAGTGATGATTCAATTAGGGCCAAGAAAATATTTATAAAAAAAAGCAGCAGGGGGGTCATCAGTTCCTCTGCGGCAAGGCCTCATGGTACAAGTGAGGATTCAAATACGGGCAAACTAATCCCTGTAAAACGGCAGCCACCCCCCCCCATGATGATCGAAAAAATAGGGGCAAAGAATCTAAAAAGTAGCTGTCGCATGATGATCGAAAAAGTGATGATTCAATTAGGCGTGCATTTTAATCGAAAGGGGGGTGGCGGGGGGCCCAGAGAGGAACTTGCGATGCTGATGATGCAGGAAGCCAAGGCCAAAAACCAACTGGGAAAGCATCAGGATGCGAAAAGCCAAAGCCAGAAAGCCGCCAAAAGCCAAAAAGCCAAAAAGCCAAAAAGCCACCTGCCGCAGCGGAACTGGCAATGCAGAGGATGCGAAAAGAGAGGAACTGTGAATGCAGATGATGCGAAATGAAAAGCCACAAAAGCCACAAAAACACACGTAAAAGCCACAAAAGCCAAAAAGCCGAAAAGCCACCGACCCTGAAAAACAAAAATAATTCCTAAAAAAAAACGGAAAAAAATCCTAAAAAAAATGGCCCTCCAAAAAAGAAAGAAAGACAAAAAAGCCACGAAAGCCAAAAAAACAGCCCAGAGGCAAAAGAAGAGAAAACAAAATAACATGCTGCAGAAGAACGGCCCTCCATTGCGAACTCTTCGGCAAACATCACTTGCATGGTCATTTATGTAACTTTGAGAGTGTTTCGCATTTAGATTCATATCGAAGGGCTAGGCATGTGTCTGGGTGCAGTGCTCAACGACTCTAGCCCAAACATGTGCATCCGTATCTGTGCAATCGTGCTTTCAGGTTTGTCCGGGTCTGTAAATCACCAGGAATCATATTAGTATACTTCCTTAGGTCCGTTTGGAAAGGGGAAATAGAGGATTCTATTCAGATGCAAATTTCGGAACTACTTGGGGGGGTCATATATGTTGAAAATACAACATGCCTTTCTCCCTAATTGCTTTGGGCGGTTTGATCTGCTTATGGCCCAATACGGCTTATCGCCCAAGACATTGTTGTCGGATCTTAGCATATCAATCTACTGAACGCCTTGAGCTACTAATCGCCATGTCCGGGCATCCTTGTAAAATCGCTGGAGTTTAACGTCAACATGTTCTTTTCAACTGGCATAACACCTTGCCGTATGACACGCTGATCATCGTCAATGCTGCCTTCGAGGCATGAGCGCCTCAAATGTCCGAACTCAATTATTGGAGCAGTCACCAACGCTCGGGCGTTGTGGCACGGAGTCCGTCCATCCATCCATCCATCGAACCAGCCAAGCCCAAAACTAACAACATACGCAAAGTACGTAAAGCAAATTTCAACAAACATCAACGTCCCGGTCCTGCGATTCTTAGCCTGTTGCCATCTCCAGCCAAGCGCGCCTCGAGGTCAAGCTGCTTTACGTCCACTGCCGGGGCCTCCGAGCGGTCGGTGGTCCGTGCTGTCCGCACCTCCTCCTTGGCCAGCCAAAGGCACGAGACGCTGCGGTCGGTTTAGAGAAGCAACCGGTTGAAGAGGTGCTTTGCTTGCACACACACACACACAAGCCTCAGGGCTTCAAATCAAACATTTTGCCAACGATTGCATGTCAGCAGCTCCTTGGAGCAGCTTTCGGCTGTTGGTCCTGTGTCCTCGGAAGGGCCTCATTTGACCCCCTTCATTGTCATAGCCAACAAAGCATTTTCAGGCTCAAAGCAGGGCGGGCCTTGGGACTTCACTTTTCTTTCGAAGTGTTTGCAAAACCTTCCTGTAAGCTTCCGTGACTGTCTGGAGGGTAGAAACCACACGGGGGAGTTGAGCCACAACCAAGACCTGCTACCCTCAAATTACTTGGCCGCCTCCTAACCAGCTGTTTATGATGTCATTCTTGGCTTGCCACATGTGAACCGATCGAGCGCAGGAGACAACACAATGAATGGTAGTTGAGACGGCACCCTAGACTTAGAAGGAACTCACTCAGAAAGCAAGCGAGCACGTGATTGAGAAAGTACTTGCACATATCCCCCTGACTTTTTGGGTTAAGGTCCAACAGCCAAACTGAGTCGCCCAAGCACCCGCCCAATTTGCTTGCCCGTCCTCCTCCGACGCTGTCGCAGAGCTCTCCCCGTGCATGGCCTTGGCCGTGAGAGCGATTGGAGCAACATCCCTGGTGAGGCTGAAATGATTAAAGATATTCGAATTGTGGTTTGGGGTACGACACTAAAGTTATCTTGGCGGCTAGTAAGTAACGGGGGATCTTGCAAACGGAGAGTTGCCCGGGCAGTTTCGGGTTGGCGCACAGCTCTGAGCACATCCGGTTCCCGTTAAGGGCTCTCTGAGTCATCGCTATGGGAAAATCACAGTAATTCTGCCTGTGGGCCGAATTGGTTCTAAGAAGGGGCAGGCCTGTAAATGGTCCATAACATGGAGTTGTTTGCGCATTGGCTCCATGTACCACAGACACGCAAGCAGCTAATAGCGTTGCACACATGCAGTCGCTTGCGACTGCCCCGTGCGTCCACTTCAACCTCAATTGGATGGAGGGTAAGGGCCTGATGACTTGCAACTGGGACTGGTAGCTAAACGGTAGCTATGTTCTTTCGGAGCTTGGTAAACGAAATTAGGGCGGACCATCAAATCTGGCAGGTCTCACCAGCTTGGTGGCCCACTCATCACTCGAACCAGTGGCATTCTGCCTTCCTGCCTTCTCAAGTTTGAAGTCATCTGGCTCATCCAAAGACGGCTCAAGCCACCAAGAGGCAAAGCCATCGGTGGAAAATTGCCGGACATCTGCGATGCCCGTGACTACTTTATCACTTTGAACGGGATTCTACAGATATCACAGCAAGTAACAACCAAAAGCTGCCAGTTTTCCACTAGCATGTTTTCAATCCACGAGGCACAGCTCAAAAAAGCAAAGCCGCGCGCCCGAAGCGCTAAGGTTAGGGCGAAGGCAGCCACCTGATCCTCGTTGAGCATCCGCACCTGGCAGCTGGCGCCAGGAATCCCAAAATTGGACACCCCACCCGCAGTTTGGCACAGGAAAAACTCAATGAGTTGATGAGTTGATGTAGACTAAAAAACTGACACCGATTGACAAACAGTTTTCGCACATGTATTTGCATGCAACACAAATTTAGCGGGTATCCCAATCATGCTTCCTTTCTTGGACCTCAGTTGGCAGTTCCATTGGAACCGGCGAAGTTCACCTTGGAAAGGAGAAATCAAGCAATCCCCGCAGGAAAGCATCCCACGGGCTGACATATGGTGCTCGGGCCACGTAGCTGGCTCGCAAAGTGCAGCTGGATGTTTCCAACGCCGACACGGAAAAAATAGTCCATCGCGGCAACACATTCAAGCGACAGAACAGGCTGAAACCAGCCGGTGCAGTTCAAACAACCATGAATATCAAACAATGTGACACAAGTCTTGCCTTTGCTGTTTCAGTGCGAAACCCAAATCCGGGTGACGCAGTGACTCCTGTTTCCCCAGGCAAAACGTTACATCTCACGCCCTGACACAATCCCCTGACATGGATCTTATTTAGCCGTCAGTTTTTACCCAAACCCCAAGCTCTACGCCAACCATTTGACTGGATGAGGCCCTGGCTGAGAGTCGCCGGCCCAAAGGCAGGGCGGAGGCCTCCGGCCGGACTTGAGGTCCGATCCGAAGCTGAAGAATCGCCAAGAATGTGTAGGCGTGTGGGCATGTGGGCATGTGGGCGTGTAGCTTCGGAGGCGTGTAGGTGTGTGGGTGTGTGGGCGTGGGTCAGTGTAAACGTGTCTGTGTTGTGCCTTTTCAACAATAGAGGCCAGCTCAAATGCATGTAAAAGGGCCGTGTGGTAAGACCAATTCATCGCTGAGTCTAAGTGGAGCTCGTTCTTTGAAGGTGAACCGTTTGGCCTTCACGACCAGGGCCATGAGAAAAGCAGTATACTGCGCGTGGCGTGTCTATGTTGATGCGTGAACAAGGAGTACTGGGAAAAACAAGTTGCGCCTGCAGAAAAGATGTGTGTGTGTGGGATTGTGCGTGCCTAACAAATCAGTAAACAAGAACATTTACAGGAAGCAACGTGTTTCTGCCTGCTGAGAAGATCACGTTGAAGCTGGCCTGTGCCAATAGCTCAACCAAGCCACTGTCGGATTTCTAGGCCTCACTCTGTGCCATTGGAAGCTTGAACAGACGTGAATACGTCACCCAAAAAAGAAACACAAGTAGGTGAAAAGGTCTTTGCCGCGCCACATCCCCAGGGAGTTCAACACCTGGGCTGATAAACTCACACACCCGGACTATAGCGGGTTCAGCGAACACCTGCGTGTGCGGATCGAGGACCTGACCCAGGACTTTGTCCTGCTTCTTTAATTTCTCCGAGGCTCCACCCAAAACCCAAAATTTCGTGAGCGGATTTGGTGGAGGCTGCATTCCCCTGGTCCCCCTCGGCTCTCAGGTGCCGCAAGCCCTGAAGCCGAGAAAAAGGATGGATCTTCATCCGGCATAAAACAGCCAGGCACACCGGCGCCATTTCGTGTAGAGTGGGGAATGCAATCTTGGCACCCACACAATGCTGAGAAAAGGAAAAGGATCCGTGGGGGGCATTTTCGCATTTGGTAATTTGAATCAACATTACATACCTCTCCATTGCAGAACACTGCATTGCAGGAAGTGCACCACCCATTGCGTTGGCCCCTGATTGTGCTAATACAACTTGCCAACTCAAAGCCCTGTTTCGTCAATTAGCTTTTTGGCAAAGTCCAACCCACCTTTTGCAGTCATTCAATCGTGCGGCTTGGCTTTCAGCTGCCCCTTCGGACACTGACCGGTATAACCGGCACAGCCATTTCTGCTGGCAGCATTAAGAGAGTTTGCCAATGTGTTTGCTTCACCAGCTGCGGTCTGATTGAGTGTTCGCACTCAGGTCTTGCAACAGAAGTTTGCGCAGCTTTCCGGCAGTTTGCCTCTCTCTCTGGCTTCTCTCATTTTGTCGCCATGATTGTGCTCACGCAGCTCGTGCCCGAGAGCTTGCTGGCTGCTTGCCCGCGACCAAAAATGTTGTACTGGCAAGCTGGCAGAGCTAGAAGTCGCTCCGTGAGCACTTCCCCCACTTAATTTTAGCGCAGAATCGAGAAGCTACAGAGGAGATTTCCAAGGCGCAAGCAGGTTGCTAATCATCTATAGTATTACCAAGGGCAACGAGCTTTGAGACGTTTTGTGCGACTCACCCCTTGCCGTTGCGCTGGCAACCTCCACCGGCTCAAGATCCTGGTAATTCGCATATCGCCTACCTGGCTGGCTTGTTTGATGGAGACGGGTGTGTGCGTGTGCGTATCCTCCAACGTACTTAGCGGCGCTCAGTTGAGAGTAAGCCACTCGGTGCAGAATGCAACGTTCTCCGCTTTTGAAGCATTCCGCCAGCGTGTGGTCTGTTTTTTGGGCCCGCTGCAGGGCACGATTCTCTATCCATGCAGCGCCATCCAGACACCAGAGCTTTTGCGCTGTTTTGGCCTTGTCCCACAGAGTGGAAGCAGCATGCGAAGGAGCTGCGCAGTTCGTCATGTCATGAGCATACATAGCTGGATTCTTTGACGTGAAAGGCTGCATTATACTGAAAGCGACTTGTGCTTCGGTGGAGCTAAGCCTGTCACAAAGGTACGCCTCCGTCCTGCATGTGGTCCCGGAGTTTTTGCAGAAACGTGTGGGCTGCAAGGTGCGCTGGTCACAGAGTGCAATTTCTGGAGTTCATTACTGAGATGGGCCAGGCGAGTCAGTTGCGCGGCCAGTCACTTCGACAAGCTATGTCCAGCAGTGGCAAGGGCAGAGTTTGTTCTCTTGGATAATTATGCTTCTATCAGCAAGCGCTTAGCAAGCCTGTCCTGCGCTGTTGGCAGCTGCTGCGATGGGAGTTGGGCCTGGCGCCAGCGCGTTTGGGTGATTGATGGCTTTTGGGTTTTAAAGCCGGCGAATCAGCATCATCCATGCCTGCTAGCAGATTCAGGGTCCTATCCCAATTTGTGTGGTTTGGTGCCATAGCGCACCCATGCTTGTGGAGTTGGAGAACCAACTCCATCAGGATGATCGCCGCGCACGGCTTCTTGGAAGAGAAGTTCATCATTGCGTAAACATTGCCCTGGTTGCCGCGCCCCGCCGGCAGACCGCAATGCGCTTCATGGCGTTGCCATCTTTGAAGGCCCATGGGAGCTGCACTTTGAAGTGGAACCCTCCTTGCTCGGCTTGCTCCATCTGAGCACCAGCCACCGATGTAGGCCTTGCCATTGGCCCACGTCACTGCAACCCCACGGTAGGCATCTTCCACGCCCACCGCTGGGCTGGAGCAGGGACTTGGCAATGGGGTACACCTTTGCTGTGAGAGTAGAGCCTTCTGAAAACTTGAGTATCACAAAGCCCAGCCACGTGTCCGCCAGGCTTGCAGCATTGCCAAGATGACTGTTGCCAGGCCTTGAGGCCCCTTCATCCGGAGCAGCCAGCAGAAGTCGACCATGGAGAACAGCCATGCGTGCCCAATAAAGTTGGGCGCTGGCCATTCCGCAAGTGCCCACCTTGTTCACGAACCATTTGGCTATATTTCCTGGGGTCATTGGTCGTTTGGGCAGATGGCCGTGAAAAAAGGCTATGGCCGTGAAACCGCAGCAGCACCCTGAATGGCCGTGAAAAAGCGTGAAAAGGCCGTGAAAAACGCGTGAATGGCCGTGAAAAACGGGCCGAAACCGTGAAAAAACGTGAAGTGCAAGCAGTGGCCGTGAAAAAGGCAATGGTCGTGAAAACCGAATTTCATGGTCCTGAGCAGAATGACCCCGTGAAAAGTGGTTAAATGGTTGTCCAGGCATAGTGTTGTCCACTGCGGTGGAGGTCAGGGCCTGGTTTGAAGCCCTAAGTATCCTAGTGGAGTGTGGCGTTGGGGTTGCCTGAAGCATGATGAGGGGGGTCCTCAATGCAGGGGTCATAGGTTATGGGGATCACCTCCAACGATCAGCGCGCATTGTCCTCAACTCACGCCTTAATAGCCCCCTGCCAACCGCGGGGCACGTGGCACCCGTAGCTGGTCGGTCACAGGGGGGTGGAGGCACCTCTTCTGCCTTGGTGCCTGTGGTGAGGCCAGCAACTGCTGCTAGACTTGCCACCCGCCGTCTGTCCTCCCCTTCTGCGTTTGCTCTTCCTGGCATCAGGTGTCTGCAGCACCTTCGGGTCTGCCCTGCTAACGGCATCGAGGGCATCAGCGTGGGACGGTCGCGTCACCCGAAGGGCCTTCCGGAGAGTTTGTGCTGACCTGGATCCATTGCGGCCCGTTGGAGCCAATAATGAGTGGCTTCCGAGCGAGACATGGTCGAAGCAAGGGGGGGAATGAGAAGAAAAAGTTTTTCTCTTTGGAGCCAAAATGGCAGGCCATTTTGACTCATATTGTTAGTTTATAAAATGGCACCGCCACGCTCTTCCATTAGAAACATGTCTGCTCGCTTAAAATTCCCTTTCTATTTGGGAATATGTCTACTGAGCCAAACAGGCTGTCAAACTTCCCTTCCTTGCAGAAGCAAGTAGCTGCGGCAATCAAACGCGATGTTCATGCTAGCCATGCACGGACATTCGTCAGGCACTTCCGCCTGCAACTCAAAGCCAACCGTTGAACGCCTCCCTCGTCAAGAACTATCACCAGATATCACCAGGCACAAATTTGGTGTACCTTCCAAGGGGTCCAAATTTGGTTTTGGAAACTCCTTAGTACTTGTCTATGCAATGTGTGTAGGTTGCTCCAAGACGCCGCTTGAATCGATCCAGTTCACATTCTGAACTGAAACATGTCGGAGCTCGCAAGCGGAGAATTCATGCTTGGTGTACCGGTCCTTTGAGGATCAACATCGCGTTTGTCCCAACGTTTCCCGAGCGTGCGAGGCATCCCTTCTGGTTGCATTGCAATACTTCCTCAACCAGAAGCAAAGGATCCCAATAAACCTGAGCTTCATCCCGGGTTCTCTAAAGCAGCAAGTGCGGTTGCTATAGCTCGCGCTCGCTGCGGCTTCCCCCCCAATCTCCCGCCTTCTTGGCGGCCGCTTTCTTGCCCGCCGCCTTCGGCGGCGGCGGTATTGGCGGAACCTTTCCTGGAGCGGAGGCTCGAACAGAAGCTCCTTGGACACCGAGAAGTAAATGAGTTCGTGTGTTTCTCAGAGAAGGACACTGTGCCACGCCGTGAATGAAAACCAGGCTCCAACGGTTGGTCGTCTGGCTGAGGAGTGCGTCAGGCTGACAAATGAAACTCGACGACACAAAGTGGGCAAAACGTCTCAGCCGTTGGACTTGTCTTTGCTATTTTGCTGCACTGCGAAGCCCGCAGCTTCGCATGTGCCGTGCAGCCTCCATGGTGCCACTGACCATAGAACAGCACCATGATTCCATGATGGCAGCCTCATTCCGAAGTGTGGCTTGAGCATGTGGTCTGTAAGAGCGGCCCAAAGCTTCTACGTGTGCAAGCCACCAACCCCGCTTCTGCCCATTCTTCATCCCATTCTGCCCTGAGCGAAAGCATCGTTAGAGAATAAAGGGGCAACCGCCAAGTCTCACTGCTCTTCTCCCCCCAGTTGGGTCCGGGTCAAAACCAGGTACCCAAAATGGAACCCTAGTACATGCAAAGGACTCAACTCTGCGGTCCATATCACGGGCTATAATTTTGACCCAACCCAATTCTTCCCCCCACCCCCACCCCCACCCCAACCCCCACCCCCCCACCAACCCCGCCCGGTCCTTTGCCGGGGCCTTTGCCCTTTCCTTTGGCGCCCTTGGCGCCTTTGGCTTTGCCCGGGGATTCACCTTTCGCCGAGTCCGGAAGCTCCGGGATATCTGTGAGGTCCAGAAACGCCTGGCATGCGCGCAAGTCGGGTCCTTTGGATGAGTTTGACATCCTACAACTTTGATCGGAGCCCATATGTTGGAACTCATTCTTGGCTCGCAATCCATTGGGATCGGCAAAAGCCAGCAGGGCGCCTGCAAACTTCACCTTCCGCTAGCTGGCTTCTGCGAAACATCCGGCAACAGTCCTATGAATCAAGCTGCATCTTAATCTCCAAAAGCTCCTATTGCCACGCAAAGCTGGTTGCCAACAGTCACTGTCACGCCCCTGTCTCCAAACGGTTGCCTACTCGAAGTAGAAGAACACACAATCCAGGGTCCATTTTTGTTGCGCAACCCAAGCCAACAATCCCCATCGGTATTGTAGCTCTGACAACCAAATTCAGCATTCAACTGTGGCTTTTTGGATCCAAACCGAACCACAACTTCCGCGCAACAACATGACTCGGTCGGATGCATTCTGGGTTGATGCTATCCAACATCGGCTCTTCAACTAACAGCTCAGTCAACCGAATGATGGAGCACATTTGCTATTAACCATCAACTAGTTTTTTTCCCTCTCAACTCCAACATCCATCCAACTATGCAACCATAGCTCTATCCAAATCCAGCAAACTGGTTTCTTAGTAGTAGTCATATCCACCCCCCCCCTCCTCCCCGCCTCCATTGGCGCCGGTGCCGCTTGCTCATGCGGTCGATTCGGCGAATCTGCCGCGGCCAGGGCGCGAATCCAGGCCTGGCCAGGCCGACGGACGCTCAAGCCGCACTTTGCGTCGAACAAGTTCGGAAGCCAAGGGCCAAGGTAGATGGCCCAAGCCCTGTGTCACTTTCTCTGATTGGTTCTGGGCTACCGGAGGCTTCAGTTCTTAGGCCGGGGAAACAAACCTGGCGGATTCTCGGATGTTCCCTTCAGCGAGATTTTCCCCGTGGGACATCCCCTCTGATCAAAAAGGGGCTGAAGAGTCCTCATGAGCTGAGGTCCACACATCTTTGAACCAGGCAACTTGTTAATTGTTGGCTTTTCAGTCAGCCAGACATCTCCAGTCTGCCAGCAAGGCGTTCGTATGTTCCCGTCGGCAGACTGATACAGCAAATCAGCACCTTCTCCCTTATTAGGGGGGTTGGATGGGCGGTTTTATGGGCCATGGGGGTATCTCCCAATTTTAGTTCAACCCAGACACTGGGGTTCAAACCACCAACGGAGACCTGAAATCCTCAATCACCAGCTTGCTTGGCCTCCCGTGACTCCTCTGTGTCCGTGGCAAAACGCAGCGTCTTGTCACCTCCAGTGGGAGACACATGCCAGCCAAGTCAGGCCCATGGCAACTGCGTGTGGACAACCAACAGTCTCTGCAAGACTCCATTCGCAGTAGCGCCTCAAGAGCTCAACAAGGGGTTGTGTCACACTTGGGAAACCTCAAAATGAGCGGTTCGCCTTTGGTTTTCCTGGCAGAACACCCCAACAAGAAGCCTCAAAAAACAAAAAACATACTCGAAGCCCGCCCTTCCAGCCCGCCCTTCCAGCCCGCTTCCCTCCAGGAGGATATGTTAGCAAAAGAAGCGGACTGCCATCACGTCGTCTTTCAGGGAACCAGCACCCTTTTGGCTATTTGAAGCAAAACCCAAAAGCAAAAAAACTACCAACACCCCTTTGCTTTTTGAAGCAAAACCTTTAAAACCAAAAAACGACCAACACCCCTTTGCTTTTTGAAGCAAAACCTTTAAAACCAAAAAACAACCAACACCCCTTTGCTTTTTGAAGCAAAACCTTTAAACAAACAAAAAACGGCCAACACCCCTTTGCTTTTTGAAGCAAAACCTTTAAAACCAAAAAACGACCAACACCCCTTTGTTTTTTGAAGCAAAACCTTTAAACAAACAAAAAACAACCAACGCCCCTTTGCTTTTTGAAGCAAAACCCAAAAGCAAAAAAACAACCAACACCCCTTTGCTTTTTGAAGCAAAACCTTTAAAACCAAAAAACGACCAACACCCCTTTGCTTTTTGAAGCAAAACCTTTAAACAAACAAAAAACGACCAACACCCCTTTGCTTTTTGAAGCAACCCCTTTAAAACCCAAAAACGACCAACACCCCTTTGCTGTTTGAAGCAAAACCCAAAAGCAAAAAAACAACCAACACCCCTTTGCTTTTTGAAGCAAAACCTTTAAAACCCAAAAACGACCAACACCCCTTTGCTTTTTGAAGCAAAACCCCCCAAAAAAAAACAACCAACACCCCTTTGCCTTTTGAAGCAAAACCCCCCCCAAAAAAAAACAACTAACACCCCTTTGCTTTTTGAAGCAAAACCTTGAAAACCAAAAAACAACCAACACCCCTTTGCTTTTTGAAGCAAAACCCAAAACCAAAAACACAACCAACACCCCTTTGCTTTTTGAAGCAAAACCTTTAAACAAACAAAAAACGACCAACACCCCTTTGCTTTTTGAAGCAAACCCCCCCGAAAACAAACGACCAACACCCCTTTGCTTTTTGAAGCAAAACCTTTTAACAAACCAAAAAAAGACCAACACCCCTTTGCTTTTTGAAGCAAAACCTTTAAACAAACAAAAAACGACCAACACCCCTTTGCTTTTTGAAGCAAAACCTTTAAACAAACAAAAAAAGACCAACACCCCTTTGCTTTTTGAAGCAAAACCCAAAAACAAAAAACGACCAACACCCCTTTGCTTTTTGAAGCAAAACCTTTAAACAAACAAAAAACACCGCTGGTTTGCGGGTGCCGAATCCTCTTTAGACAGACATCACATGGCGAGGGGCGACACGTCACAAGGAAGCCGAAACCCACGGGCGCGCTGAGGAAGAAGTCACAGGCTTCCACCTGCGACTTTTAACTCCGGAGCTGACGATCTGGGTGTCCCCCTCTTTGAAGGTACTCCTTGTTGATAGTTTTAAAGGGACACCTGGACCCCTTTGTTGGTGGTGTTAAAGGGAAACCAAAAGGACCACCACTATTTTGGGGGGGGTCCAATTCCTTTAAAAAACCACACCCATATTATTGAGGACAGAATCCTGCATGAGTTGGGATGGATGAACCTGTATGACTGCAATACTTACTGGTGCAATATTTTGTCCACCCACAGTCATTTGCGTTGAGCCCAACTGCGACATTTCCTGCGAAATATCTCGCATGTTTGTACTGAACCCAATGGTTGGGTATGTCGGACTGCCTTAAAACGATCATCAACACGCAAATTACTGCCTACATTGACATGTTTGGCAGCCCAGATACGAGTTTACATTGAGGGGTGCGTCTTTCAGGGAACTATGTCTACATCAGTCAGCAAACAAGGCCCATCCTGACCATTTTTCGCGCTGCGCAGTCAATATGAATAGTAAGTGGGTCCCCCCCCCGACCCCTACTACCTCGCAGCACTCCAGGTCCACGTCATTGGTAAGCTGGTCCTCCTGGCAAAAAAAAAGGCGAACAATGAATGCTGCTTGTGCTTTTGGTTGGCTTTCACACAGTGGTTGGGGTCCTATCGATTTCCCCGGCCCTCGAAAAAACAGTTCAAACCCGAGCAAAGGACCCATATGCCTGGCTTCAGTTCGGCTTCCTTGACCTCAAACGCAACCATTCTCGCGGGGTTCATCCAAAGAAGAGATGCTTGCATTCACCATCCACAATGTGGATCATCAAAACATGACGCCCAACAACGCACAAGTCGTAAGATTAAATCTATCTCTTTCTAGAAACACCTGTGTGGATCAACAATAGCATATGATTGAAACTAGCATTCTGTGCGTGTGTTCAAACATCCATCGCTATTGTTTAGGGAGCACCAACTTCACCACACGCGAAGGCCATCCGATGGTTCCATCTATGCAGCCGAAGGCACGGCAGCATAAAACACAAATACTGCTAGCGTATGAATCATCCTCTGGATCCTGCAGCCCTGGCAAATCGAATTAATCCCCACGGAGCTCAAGGATGCTCAAGGAATCTGGTTGCCTTCGAGGCAATTTAGCTTTGCCCAAAGCACGTCGTGTGAATAAGAATCGACCTCCTGACAAGTAGGACAAAGGTTAAAGGCTCGGCCACTTGAAACCTTAAACCAGTTTCCCGCGTTTGCCGAAGGCCAGGGCCCGAGGCCCTTCCCTTTGTCACAGCCTTCTCTGAGGTGAAGGTCAGCAAGCGGCGCTCAGTGAGGTGCACATAGCCTCAAGCCGAATCGGAAGTCCCATCCGATTCGCCTGGTGACATCCCAAGTGTGTGTGAACCAATTTGGACCTTCTTCTCACTGTGAATCCGTTTCGTTTGTTGCCCGAGGCGCATAGCAACCACCCAGGTCCTGTGGGCCATGGAATAAGCAAGCTTATTGTGTTCAATATTCCTCTTGACTGCTCAAAGAACACGAACACTAAGGAGTAACATCAAAGTGATGTCACCCGTCATAGGCAACCTGGTCAATTCGTGTCGAAGGCTTCGACTTGAGTTGTTGATGTCAGCTGAGGGAAAGCCAACGAAACCACAAGGCCTCACGTGCCACGCTGGGCCGTTGTCCATCTCCTTTTGGGGTGGAGAGATTAAACACGGGCTACTTCGCAGGACACATTGGCTGAGAGCTCGAAATGCCTGGACCTGAATTTTCCTTCTCGGTGATTCTCAAAGGTCCCGCGAAAGGCCTTGGTGGAAACATCCCTCCTGAGGGCCACAAAGGACCAGGCCCCTTTGGCCAAGTGGCGCCAACGCCACTGAAGCAGCTGCTGACTGCGCTTCATCAGCCAGCCCTTCATCACGGCCGGCACGGCCCCTATCGAGCCGCAGGTCGCGCTTGCGGCTCTTTGAAAGAAATAGACGGGCTGGTAGAGGTGCGTTTTTCTTCCTAGGGCTGGCTTATTCCTCGGGCTGGTTTTGCACAGGGCTGGCAACATCCCCAGCATCACCAGCCTCACCTGGATGAGTTGCTGAGGCCTGGTTTAAGTCAGGGAGGCTTTAGGCTGGCTTAGGTCTTCATGAGGGTGGGTTTTGGGGTGGTTCAGCATCCAGGCTGCTGTTGGGCGGGTTTAGGGTTGACTTTGGGTGGATTTGGGGTTGGCTTGTGTTGGGTGTGCTGCTGGCTAAGCGGTGCCTTCAGGGTTGCTTTAGGAATGTGGTTGTGTGAGTTGTGGGCGAGCTTTTGTGGTTTGGGGCAACGCTCCAAAACCAATCCTAAACGAAATAAACACTCACGCAACCACATCCCTAAAGCAACCCTAAAGCAACCCTAAAGCAACCCCGCTTAGCTAGCAGCACACCCGACACAAATCAGCTCCAAGACAACCCCAAATCCACCCAAAGTCAACCCTCACCCACCCAACAGTAGCCTGGATGTCAGCCCTTCGCTTCGCCTAAATCAACCCCACCCCAAGACCCACCCTCATGAAGATCTAAGCCAGCCTAAAGCCCCCGAACTTAAACCAGCCCCCAGCAACTCCCAATTGCATCCCAGTCAGAGCCAATAATCCAGGTGAGGCTGGTGATGCTGGGGATGCGGCAAGCCAACCAACCAAGCAACCAACCAACCATCCATCCAACCAACCAACCAGCCCAGCCCTGGTCACAAAACAAACAAACAGCCCAAGGGCGGATCCCGAGTCGGTTCCCCTTCCAAAGAAACGCAACACGCATAACCGTCATCTTGAGGTCCTTTGGCACCGGCAAGTGAAACAACACCTGGCCGGTGGGTACGACCCCGATAAAAACACGCTCGACTTTGGCCTTGGACACTGGCAAATTCATGGGCCAAGAATGATCATGGCCCCCAGCAAAAGCGGGAAGTCCTCCTCGGAAGCAAAACTTAGGGCAGCCCAATCCGGGGCTCAGCCAAGCTTTTGTTTATTGACTTGGAACGATGCTGCTAAAGGATCCAGAAGGCATGTTGCGAGCAACCCAGCATGGGAGGAATAGAGCAATTTCATTTCCGCAATGCAAACAAGCCGGAACTCCTCTTAAGTCATGACAAACGACCTTCCAATATATGCGAATGAGAAACAATGAATAAAAGGGAACATCTGTTTGGCGTGCTCGGTCATTGCCGCCGAGACAAGTACTAGACAAGTAACCTGGACGCAAGGCAGCAGCCCGGTTTCATCACTAGTGGAACCTGACAACAATATTATTTGTCAGGTGGACTCTAATGACATGCCGCCCTGAAAGGGAGCCCCTTCAAAACAGACCCGAATTTTGTCAATGCCGCATGTTCACTTGCACAAATCAAATGGTTCCCCGGCCGACGTACACTCCCACACATGCCAGAAAAACTGGAACTGGCGGCTGGTGAAAATATCGGAAGCCTATTGGGTGGTTTCCTTCGGCTCGACATTCTCCACTCCAAGAGAGGCCAAGAGGGGCCAAGAGGCTTTTCCCCCTCCCCCCTTCCTGCCCTCCTGAGGGCCCTGAAGTGGCCATCAAAGCATGGCACTCGGAGTGGCCAGTCCCGCTCAGTTGGTGGCGGATGGCGGATGGATTTGTCAAATGGACTTGTCATTGGCGGACCATCCGCCCCGAAACAAAAATTGTGACTTCGCTGTGGCTTACATTTACAGCAACCAAAACCAGGGTGAACTCAAAACATGTTGGGAACGGCATTCGCACAGCACGCCCTGTCGGTTGGTCCCCACTGCCCTTCAACAGAAGCAACAAAAAACAACACAACCAAAGGAACAAATATAGCCGAGGGGGATGGATGAGTGTCTTTCTCCTTTGGACTGTGCCTCAAGCCTAAGCGAGGGGCGAATCTTTGCAAGGGTGGGGTCTGGAGGGCTGGGGGTCAAGCTGGTCTTGTGGGTTTCGTCCTTTGCGCTTCAGTAAAAGGTCAATCATCTGGCTTTCCCCAAGCGGGCTCCGCTATCCTCTAACATCTCGTTTACTCTGGCAGCTCTCCAAATAGGGCAACCCCCAGAACGGGTGGATTCCCTTTTTAAAACAACCCCCAAAAAGAGGGCCGCTACAAAAGAAGTCCCACATTCTGCTCTTGTGTCCCTGCTTGCCGCCGAAGGCTAAGCTGTGCTCCCTCGCTGCAAGCCGATGGCCATCGGAGAATGATGCTTCGAAAGATTCGGTACTCCTTGGGTGTTGTTCTCTGGAACTTCTTTTGGGCTTCCCGTGCAAACCCATCCAAAAAGGGTGTCCTATCTTGAAACAGACTTGTTGCCAGATGAGAAGGTATGGGCCTTGCTGGCAATCAAATTTCAAGGGCGCAGCTAACCCTTTGGCAACAAACCAGGATGCCTGACTTTGATGATTCCTGGGGGCATGGATGATGACACTGATGAATGTGTTGATTGGATCAGTGGTGTGACGTTTCAACCCACCAGCCTCAAGCTGTTGTGGCCCTTCTTATCGCTTGCTCTTTTGGTGGTCACTCTCCCAACAGAAACACTGAAAAACTGAAACACAAGCGCAATCCACTAGACAACTGTGCCATTCTGTGCCACACAAGTACTCCCCGTTTGCCTTTTGTCGGGGTTTTTGTTAGGGGTGGCAATAGGTCTTGACAAGGCGCTAAAGCACCACATGGTTGCGTGTCACTAGGGATCCTTTTGGGCATCGGCTTGCAAGGGAAACAACATGACACTAATCGCTGGATGGGGTCCAACTTCTGACACATACACGTATTTGCCCAGCGGGGCAAAGCCCGACAGTCAGGCAAAGTCATGTCATCTGATCAAAACTCACCCACCACCCAGAACCTGGCATGCCCTTCTTGATCGGAAAGTGAAACGCTTCCCGGCAACCCATTTCCAGCTGTGAGTCCCGCAAAACATTGGTGCAAGCACGTGCAAAAAAAAGGAACTGAATTCTGCTTAGACTATTAGATGGTCTGGCAGTAAGTTCAGCTGTTGGTAACCATGACCAGGATGCAGAACGGCTTGAGGGTAGCTCATTACGCGACTATCGGAGCTCAGATTCAAATACCTGGCGGCCCCTTGCCACGCCCTGGGGCATCGAGCCAGCGAAGGTCCTGCGGGAAGTTTGGCCATGACTCAAAGAGGTCAACACACATGTCAAACCTGGTGAAACACATGTCAAGGCCTGACCTTTCATCCAAAACAAAAAACATGTCTGCCAACTTCTCGTCAACAACCAAGCACCCTCCGAAAACATGGGTATGTCTTGTCGGGGGGGGACCCCCAATTCACGCTGGTATTCCTTTTGGTTTCCCTTATTACAATTACAAGCCACCAAAACGGGGTACCCGGCCTGGCGCCAGGCTTTCGTAGTCCCTTACCCTTGGCCTCAATGAGGTCAGATCTGCCCGTCGAACATGTGCCCCCGCCCCCCAAAAAACAGCTTGTACCATACAACCCCCCCTCAAAAAACAACACCGCTCAAACTGTTTCTCGATGGCAACCGTCCAAAATAGCTGGGCGACCGGCCCGAGAACCTTTGCCCTGGGCACGGCGGCAGGCCCGAGACGAGGGGGTTCCGGCAAGACTCGGGTGGGGTGTTCCGTTTTGAGGTCGCCTCATTTGGTGTTCATTTAAGCCAGCCCAAAAAAGGTTCCCTCCAGAAAGGACACACCAACTTTTATGTTCTTGTCCGACAAAAAGGGATCCCAATAGCAAAAACATGTCCAACCCACCAGAAAAACCGGTCATTTTCCGTGGACCACAAAGCCGTCACCACAAAGCCGTCACCACAAGCCCTGCTAGAACCTGGCCCCGGAAGCTGGTCAGATCCACCAGGCATTTCGGCGCCGACTCACTCAAAGAAACACACTTCAAGCGAACCAAATCACAGTATACGAAAAAAGCCAAGAGCGTACTGGCCGAAGCAACGCGGAGCGTTTACAACTTAGCTAAGTCAGCATCCCTATGGCCCTTCGCAACTTAGATCCCGAAAAGCTCACGCGCGAGTTGAAAAACTCACACCCCGGGAAAGGATTGGATGGCGAACTGCTCACATGCAGTGTCAAAGGAATACCTTTTTGCGGGCCTTCGGAGACCAATATGAAACCGGTGATTTGGGTCCCTCTCGACTCACCACACCTCCTGCATGAGGTTTCACCTACCGAAAGTGAACATGCATTGATTTCTCGCACCTTGTTCAACCGGTTCGCTCCCAAGGCCTTGCCGTGTCCACCTTTCCCAGGTCTCTTGCCTTTTCCACCTGAGATGGTCTGGGAGCGTGGCCAAATCTTAGTTACCCAGGACTAGTACATAATGTTCCAAACCTTTGACCAGGGCAGGCAGTTGTCCTGTCTGCAAGACGTTGAACATTTGGGGGTCCTTTGCAATTGTTCTGCAGAGATTTCTGCAAATCCCGGCCCTAGACCGGCCCTTCCTTACATTGACAGCCACGGGATGCCGTGGGGAGCTGTGTACCAAGCAGATACGGCAACAACACACTCACAAGTTGACTGACTTCAACAACATTCAGGCCCGCAAGAGTCAGTCCTCGTGTGCTGGGGCTGTTGGGTCTTGCCAGGTCCCGGCATTGAGAATGACTCTCCTTCCCTGAGTTCTTTGGCGCCCTCTACTCTTTCGGTTCCTGGGATGACAAGCTGAGCAGATCCTGGCTTGGCGGGAATGCGAGTTTGCCAAAGCAGCATATAAAATCCGGAAATATAACATCTCTCCACTCAAACACCAGCCCGTTATCATAGCTCAGAAACTCAGCCTCGGAGTCTGCACCCTTGTGATTGGAGAAAGCTGCAATCGGTGAAATATTGCACTTCATCAATGGCCTTGGATTTGGCGAATCGTGCTTGGGTAGTAGTTATGCAAATAGCGCCGCTATCACAACGCTTTCCGGTGGACAGGAATAACACCGGCACATTCAGCAATGGCGATATTGCATACCGCTGCGCTGGGCAAGGTTGTGGTCATGGTGATGCACATTCTGTAGCACTCAAATACCAACAAGTCAACACGGTACAGTCCTATACGGGGATATGCCTCAGCATGCCCAAGTGCCAGGTGACTCAGAATTGTTAGAGCCTTCCGGATCTGCGGGGCGACCTGCATTGATTGAAGGCGCACCTTGCAAAGAACCAGGCTTACACCCAAACCCGCATGCAAAAGCCTCTGAGGCATCTCAGCTTGCGTAAACATTGGATTAAAGACTATTCTTCAACCTCAGCGCAATCCACAGGTGCAAAACGTGTGACACTCCCCCCGTCACATTGTTTCCCTTGTACGTTGTACACACGCGTGTCTCGTGCCCCCCCAAGAAAACCACCAGATCAAAACATTCCTCTGAATCATCTCAGCCAAGCTACGCCGCCCTTTACCGCCCATTAAGACCTCCTGGCTGAGCGCATGGGCAGGTCTAATCAAGAGGACCAAACGAGGCTCAGAGAGGCTCCTCAGAAACAAACTGACTTGGTGGCTATTGCCCTCTGCCCTCTGATCGCCAGTGGATCCAGCTGCCATAAGGACCCGAACTGTTGCAGCTGGCTACCTGTAGGGCGAACTGGATCTGTGTGCCTTTTCAGGGCCTGAGGCCAAAAGGAAAGCCCCAGTGGAGCCCTTTGGAGCTTCCTTGTGCTTTGCGTTTACCTTGTGAAGCTTCAGGAAAGATCATTTCGCAGGTTGGTGTTTGTACCATGAAGGTCATGTCAGTAGTCATGGAAGTGCACAGGAGGGTCTTCGATGTCTGACATCATGTTTAAAGGGCCCCTTCTCCGATTTCATGATACTGATTGTAAGTTAAATTCGAGGTATTTGAGGCCAATTTCGAGGTATCTAGGCTTCACCTTTAAAAGGGGGTTGGTTTTTTGCCAACAGCAGCTGCTGGCTGAATATAACTTTTGTATGATAAAACCAATTGCAAGCGGCGGTGTTCAGGAGTGATGTGTCTCGGCATATGTTCACTCGTGCTGTTCATGGCACGCGCCCAGCTGGAATAAGTGTTGGGAGCACGAGACGCGGCGCAATTTTGCTTTAGTGTGCCATAAGCCGGGGTAGCAACCATGAAACCAACAGAGAAACTAAGACACATTCAGCAAATGGAGTAACATGGGCAACATGCGGCGCTGTGACATTCAGCGAACTGTTTTGTCAGACACTCTCTGAACACCTCTCCAATTTGAACATTCCTTGTGCGGCTCACAATATGCGGTTACCTCGACATAGACATGGGAAAACTAGTGAGTCGCCTGAGTCCCCCATGTCTTTCCCAAATGAACCATGGAAATTCAGACCAGGTTTCAAGCCGCTCGTCTCGAACAACCGAGCGGCCAGCCGTCGCTCCTGATCTGGCAAGGGAAATCGGCGCGCATCTCTGCCACCAGTGGAGAGTGACTTAAATGGGGATCAATCCGATATTGAGCAACCCTTGGCGGACAGTAGTTTAGATGAGGACCAGGCCGACGATTTACCAAGTCTGCAATCATGCGTGCCATCGGCGGTCAGTCTCAGACACATCTTTCTTGCAATGGGGCTGGCTATGTAACAGATTCTGACCAACCATCCATCCCATCAAAAGATTCCGACCTCCTGAAGCCAGTGTACTGTAAAGCTGAGGAGGCGGCAACGTACAATAAGTCAGCACCATGAAGCAAGCTGCTGATGCATCATGAATGTCATCTTCTTTCACCCAGCACCTTCCATAGAGCGCCATAGAGTCCACCATTCAGCCACGCTTGACATCGCTCGCAACGAAACAGCCAAACTCACAAACCGGCTGGGCTTCACCAAAGATCTCATTGCACTCTCATTGTACTCTCGCGCTGCCCCTTTGATTTCTCCCACTGGAGCTGTCGTGTGAGACTTACATATATGGAGAAGCTCAAGCGCTAAAAGCACTGAAAGCCCATGCAACGCAAGGCAGCTGGTTCCACGCGGGCGAAATGCTGACAACTCGGCATATCTATTGCCAGAGCTGTGTCGCACTGACTGATCACTCTGACACTAGGGGTTTGAGAGCTCAACTGCGACCTATCCGACTATCCGGCCTGTGAAACTTCCCAGCTGCGTTGCCTATGAGCCGCTTTCGGCTCCAAAAGACCTGGGCTGCGAGGGGCGTATGGGTTTTCCGTTCGACTGCATGATCCTTGTGGACCCCAGTCTAAGAGACGCACAAAACGCTCCCCCGAAGAACACCTACGGCCACTTTGCTCATGGTTCAATACGTCTGCGGTTAGCGCAAGGTGAGTGGAAGAGAACCATGTTGCCTCTCCAAGGCAAAGAAAGTCTCAAAGAGGGGCCCACGGGCCCACCCCCGCTCTTTTGGCGAAGGACCAATGATAAGAAACACATGCGGCCTACAAAACCGGAGCTCCTCGGCCTATTGAACTCTAAGGGGATCGAATCGATGTCTGATTGGAGGTGGTTCTCTTGCCTTGGTTGCCGTCGACCCGGAAAAAAGCGTAACCTCTGTGGGTTCAATGGAGAATCCTCTGTTTCAACCAAAAAGTCAAAGTCCAAAGATCCAACCAAATAGGCACAAAGTTTAGAGCACCCTTTTCATTGGTGGTTCAAAGTGAAATCAATTGTGGGGGGTCCCCTCATTGCGACATTCTAATTGTAAACATGCTCAGCCAAGGAACGGTGTTTGAAGTGCACCACTCAATGGAAACGAAGAGCCACTTGATTAGGAGTCCCCTCGTTGTAGCGCCACAGCCGACTTTTGTCGGTACTCTGAAAGGAAAAGAGTCCAGGGCAGTTGACTGCCCTTGCGCCCCATATGTTGATATCTTCGGATCCCCTGATGCATTTTCGCGGAATCTCTTGATCCATCGGGCTCTCAATGCTCCCAAGAGAATTTGTGGTCCGAACGCGCGGCGCGCACTGAGTATAGTATGGTCGGGCAGCCTTCGTGCGCGGCTTTCGCTCACATGTGTTCCTTTTTGATCGCGACCATACCTTGGACATGGGCAGCCTCGTTGACACCACGCTAGTGAAACCAAAGGAACATTGGTGCCATAGGGCAGCTGGACATTTCTTCGGGAGACGCGTCGGACAGACTCCAAAAACTCGTGGTCTCGTTTCCCTGCCGAAGTCCCTACGCAAATCCAGGCACTTGGGTTTGAAGGAACTTTGTTGAGGTTGTCTGAAGGGGGTTGCCCGAGAAACCTGCTACTCAGGGGTTCCCAGTTTTCAACACAAACCCAGCCAGTTTCCGTGTAAGCTGGGCTGACTCGCTTGAAGCCAACCAGGAGACTGGGGCGACTTCGCGCCTGTCCTTGCCATGTGCCCGTCCCCTTGACCAAGTGGCTGTACCAAAGCAACTTGATCATGAGCAGAACCAGAAAACAGCCATAAAAAAATATATGCTAAGAACAGCCAAATGGAAAACAGTTGGAGCCCCCCCAGTTGTTCCAATTGCTTCTGCTTTTGTGTTAACATCGTAGGCTCCAATTTGCCAAATCACCACATCGTCTCCCACGCCGGGCGGCACTCCATGCCTGGCCTGAAGGATTGTGAGCTATGTCCTCAGATGTACCGGACATGGAAATGGGTCTGTCTTCCCCCCCCCCCCCGATTCCGGGGATTGGTTTTGAACCCAAGAAACAAATGGTTACGGTATGCAGCTGGCACCTGCTCAACGTCAGCTTATTAGTTCCCTGGGTCATTGACTATATATATATATATATATGTATATATATATATGACGGGATCACTAGGAGAAAAGTGTTCCTTACCAATGGGAAGACCGATCAACATTTGCCCAATGGTGTCCTTCAAACCAATAGAGAAGCCTGCCATCATGAGGTCTTGATGGGAGAGAAAGCCATGAGGGGTTCCTACCATTAGGGACCCCCCTTGGTCCAGGACTTGAAGGGTCATCTCCAAATGAGCGGCCCTCACAATGAGTGGCTTCACTTTGGTTTCCCTTTCAAGCCACCCCAAAAAGAGCTTCCTTTTGGGGAAAGCTTGATGGTACTTGCTCATGAAAGCTGAAAGCAAAATGTGGTAACTTTCCTTTTGGGGCAGGTCGGACCTGCCCACTTGATAAGGAGGGGTATGTTGACCAGAGCACCAAGGCAGCAGAACTGTCACAGTCACTACAGTTAAGACTTGCGAAGCCAGCCAACCGCTGGAAAATGCTGATTGATTTTTTTTGTGAGAAATAGATCAAGGAACAGAGCAAGAAAATAGTGATTTCAAGTTTGGAAGGAGGAGAAAAAAGCAAGAAACAAGTGATTTTGAAGCCCACTTCTCGTCAAGCTCGGCCAAATCCATGGCCAGAACGCTCGCGTGCTGTCTGTCACTATCTGTCAGCCCCCCCAGAACATGCTACGTTGTCGCACTGCTTCGTAATGATTGCTTAAATAGTTTGCATCCCATCTTTGCGATTGAGATTGCTTCTGATCGTTTCGCGTCAATCTGCGTCGATGGACCTTGTGCACTGCAGGCGGCAAATCGGCTAAGGCGCTCACAAACCTGCAGAAACTAATCGAATCTCTCGCAAACGAATTGGGCAACCCGATTGCTTCTCGGATGACTGTTTGGATCACTATTTAGAACCCGACTGCTTTTCTTTTTGGATCACTATTTGAATCACTATTTGGATCACTATTTGGATCACTATTGTTTCTTGGATCACTATTTGGATCTCTATTTGGATCACTAATTGATCACTATTTTTGACCATCCGATCACTATTTTCACTCATGCCAATTGCTAATTTCTTGCTTTTGTCTTGCCACATGATGGACCCGAATCACCTTTATCTTGCTTTGTTGTTTCCCATTGGATTTTAGATTACTATTTTCTTGCTCCATTTCTCACTCCGAAATCACAAAATAAATTATTTTGACCTCCCTCTACGGTTGGCTGGACGAAAACTCTTAACACTACAGGAACGGCTGCAACACCAGGGCCCGTGAACAAGCACAGGGACAACATGTTGGATCCGTGAAGCCGCCGGGGCATGAGACATGAGTCGCGTGAACATTGTGAAGCCAAGCACTTGCATCGCCCAATAAGAAGAGTCCATGTGAAAGTGCAAGCTGGTCAGTTCTGACAGGTCTTTCCAGTGATCCAGTTCAATGCCAACAGAATATCAATCGTTCCATTTACGTAGGAAACAAGAACGTGGACAACCGCTCTGCCTTCGCCCAAGGTGCTTTTTGGGCTGAATCGTGTGCCCAAACTGACACTTCCTCCCATCGAACCTACAGAGGAAATTGTAACCCCCTCCCTTCCTCAAGTGCAGGCGCTCCGACAGCTCATCCAGTCTTGGCCTCGGTCTCCGCCTCGCTCTCGGCCCGCTTCAGGGCTTTCTCGTTGGACTTCAGGAGGCTGTAGCCCGTGAAAGCGCCGATGTTGCCGATGATGGCAAACATCATCACCTTGGGTCCATCGCGATGGATGAGTAAGAGGATTCAAAAGGTTCTTCCGGCTAACATCCTTTATGATACCAAACCGGCCATGCGCATGACTACTTGATCGCTTTGGAGGGGGACTCCCTTTGTATTTCCACAACCATAGGTTTTGCTTGCGGTACCATGATAGATGTCTGAAACGTGGTGGAGCAATCGAGCGGTTCCAGGTTGCTATCGCTAATATCCCTTCTCCCTCCAGTTGTCTCAGCCTTTCCAACCCCAGTCCGGCGTGATCACCTGCCCAAGTCCGCCGAGAGTCTGTGGTCCAAATTCCTCCAGGAAGAGTTTCCAAGCCCATGCAAATGGACAGCAAAATGGTGGCTGCTTTGTTGAAGTTGCCGGCGAAGGCAGCATGGCTAGCAGACAATCGTTGCACGACGGTATACTGCAGCACGTTGTAGCCTGACCAGAGGTGCAACTAAAAGTAGATGGCACAGTTCCCTCATCTTGATTTAGTCCCCTTTGCGAACTGCTGTATTGTTGACCCATGGCTGCAGCCATGCTTGTGCCTTTTCCGGCACATAGCAGCCAAGCTGGCATCGGCGATTGCCAACATAAGGAGTAAGTGCCAATGGCTGGCCTGTTTTCAGTTTTCGTTGGCAAACCCTTGGGAAGAATCTTCCCCAACTCTACAAAGCAAGGGCCCTGATTGAACACCAAGAGTGAGAAAATCTGAGAATCCGCCTGCCGCAATGCCGCCAGAGAGGATGACCCACATCACGGTGCTGGGGCTCAGTTCCATGACCTTCTTCAGCACCTCAATCCGATACAAAAGCTCTTCAACTAGAATGGGGCGTTGGGCACTGCCAAACCAAATTTAGTTTTGACTGGAGTAAACTATCAGTCATTATTTGGGCCTTCTATCACCTCTTTCCAACAACCATGGAAGTGGGCACGAGGGCGTGGGAAGAATATCGAATCGCAAAAACATAGAACGTAAATCCCACAACCATGCCTGACACCCCTGATGGATGACAGGTTGCTCATGGTTGCACCGCATTGCGTTGGGTCGCTACAGGTACCAAAAGTCGGGAATACATCGGCTGATTGGTGCACAACATCAAGCCATGGCCCTGACAACACAACTGCGAGAAAGGGAGATCTATACGTCCGTGTTGACCTGATCCACTCTCAGTATGGTTCCCGATGCCTTCAAACCTGGCAATGTGCGGTCTTTCCTTGGCCTTTCTTTACAAATTCCTGGAGCACATCTCTACTGTGGCTTCTGGTGATGCTCATACCAGGCATCCAGAAGCCATCACCAATCACCAAATGTCAATCAATAAACGATGCCATCAAGCTGTAAATCGGTTTGTGGATCCCCTGTTCCGGCGCGACACCCATCACCAACCGGCTGTGACTGAGCCACCCAGCACATGCGAACCTATATAGGCTTCTTGCCGACGATACAGCCCATTGCAGGGAAATGGGGGGGGGGAAGTCTCCGAGAATTCCAAGCACTGAAACCAGACAGGGAGTATGGCTGAGGCTGGTAGCTTGGCTGACGGGCGCTTTGCATCGACACAGCAACTAGGCACATCCTGTCGGAATGCACATGGTGTCTCAAACATTAGGGTACCCCTAAACAAATGTATAGTGCTGTTTGGGCTCATATGGGCGGCAAACAGGATCTAACGCTGGCACAGCCAGGACGGTGCCATTTCGTCGAGGCCAAGATAGAGGTCCAGAGCAGCCAACAAAGAATCCTGTCTGTTCCGTGGGTTGCATCGCAAAGGTCACGCTCACCAAATCAGCTGGCACGGGCTGCTTTCATGCAAATTCGGCCAGGCGCTTTTGGCAGTAGGGCCTCCGAACTTTAAGGCTCGGGCTGCAAACGGGATCAGAGACCAAAAGACGCCTTGCGATATTTCCGTGGTTTTTGTTGCCTGGCTATGGATTCACGGGGCAAAAAAATCAAATGGGTCCGGGCTCCCCTTCACGCCTGCAGGTCGCTGACGTCCCCGAAGTTGGGCCAATCCACCGGGTGCAGCACCCACAAGGAGGCGGGCAGCAGGAACAAGGCGCACGGGAGGGCCATGTAGAAGATGGTGTCCACCTGCACGCCACCCCCAACCCCCCCAACCCCCCCCCCCAGAAACAAAGCTCTCCGGAAAGAAGGCCGTGGTTGGTTTGGGGCGTTCTTGTCATTCAGCAACCCACCTGTAAACTGGAGGCCCAAACATAGAAATGCGCCGGCTTGTCATACTGTGGACGGACTCCACCAGATTGAAACCATGGAAAACCCGTGTTTGCTGTTTACGGGGGAATCATCGTTCCAGGGTTTCTGAACGGCGGAGCGAAAATGGATTTCGCAGCCGTGCACAGCAAGTCGCAACATGTTCATGTCTCCTCGTGCGATGTTTTACATTGCGAGTTGGGCTTGGCGGAAAGCGAAAGTCCGAAGGACAACCCCTCGGTTTGGGCGACGCTCCTTTCAAGAGACCTTCCACCTGGTTCCAGGTTAGTAGAAGGTAGGGCGTTTGTCCAAAGCCCCACATCCTGCGTGGATTGGCCAAAAACAGTCTGAGCGTTTTTAACCACAAAACAGGCCTTCCCAAAAAGGTTAAAGTCAAGGAACTCCGGAAGTGAGAAGCTGATTGATAACATCCTCCGCATTCAGAAGGAGAGTCTCCTCTTGGGTGAACATGATCCATTTGAAAAAAAGTCTTCCCACGATCCGCAGTTGACATTGGGTAATTGCCCAGCACACAAGAGACTGGAAGTGATCAGCAAGCAACCTCGAAGTCGGCCCCTCAACAAACACGCCGAGAATTGCCTGGGCATAGCCAAATCACAAAGGGTGCTTCCTCACCTTCTGTAGGAAGACGTGCAAACCGCATGACAAGCAAGCGCCCTTGTCACTTGAAGTTGGCTGGTCTAGCTGTGACGGCATTTTTGGAAAACGTACATGGGAAAGCAAACACATGCTACCGTGGACGACTAGCTTACTTCAAAGTGGCATGAAACTTGCTTAAACGAAACCACCTTGGCCCACAGCTAGTGGGAGGGAGACCAATTGTAATCCGGCAAATTGGATGGCCCTCCTCGTCAACCAGCACGCCCACTCCCGGCCACCAGGAAGAGCGAACAAAAGCGAATAACAGAGAGCATGGCCAAAAACGAGGCCTACACAAGGAAAATCATACACATGAGATACCTCTGATTGAATTTCTGCCAAATGATGCAATGTATCAACTTCTGAGGTCACCACCGGATTCAGCGGCGGATTTAGGACGTTCCCGAACATGCCCGCCAGGATCAAATTGATGGCGCATGCAACATCTGACCTGAAGATGGTGGACATGCTAGTGTCAACATGCGGCGTTTCCAAACCACCGGGACCCCAACTAGAAAAGCAGGCAAATCAAAAACAAGAGGGTCCTGACTTGTGGGAGACATTCTCTGGGGATCACCCAAACGGCGGCGGTTCCCGAGCAATTTCGGGCAGTTGTGTGTTTGTTGGTGTCACCATGCAGTCCACCCGGCTGTTTTGTCTCTGCCTGAAACTGCCTGAACTCCAAACCCGATACTGCGCCCCCCGCCGCGGGCCCTTTGCATTCAGCTGAAAATGTTTTGCCACTACAAGTTTGCCTTCCAGCCTCTTCAGTCAAACCTCCCTCGGCAACATGGGAAGGGCACGGGGGAATGCAAAGCACAGGGAAACTGACAGGGAACCACCCAACAGCAGCAAGCAGCAGTACCATGATGCACCGACGAGGCCGATCAATGGCACCCATCAGGACATCAGTGCTGGCCGGGAAGCACGACTGAAACAAGGGCGTATTGAAAGATACAACTTCATGTCTCTACACATTGTGGCTGAACCGTTCAAACAAATGCATTTGTTCGTGTTGGACATTTGCAGATAGTGGGAAACCTGGGGAAGCCGACCCTTCAATGGCCGAAACATGCCGGCCAACCTTCCGTTTGATCCCTTGTGCGATAGATAAAACTTGGGCGACACGATCATTTAAGTTCGAGGGAGCAATGGCAAAAATACCGATAGATTCCTCTGCGATGACAAGTTGCTTCCGCCAAAGCTTACGCGCGGCTTGAATTGCGGGAGAAGACCAAGTGCCCTTTCGCAGCTCTGGAGCCCAAAAAACTCCGCGCGGCTTCCGCAGAGCTTCCGCGACTCTTAAAAACGGATGTCCCTCCCAAAGCAGCGGTTCTGTCCGTGGCGCAGGGAGCAGAAGAGAACGCCCACCCCCAGGTGCTTGGACTCCGATTGCTGCGAGCCCTGGCTCTTTGCCAAGGTCGCCACTGCGGCGAAGATGACGCCTGGGAATCCCATGGCTTTCCCATGGGTTCATGGTGCCCATGCAGGCTCGAGGAGTTTCCCATGCCCGGGTTGTCCATTTCCCATCGGTTTCCTTTTGGAACGAAGCGTGAAGGATTTTAGCTAATTGGCACCTGAACCACAAAATGAACCAGGCCGCTCTTATGAAACCTCTAGGTGTCCTTTTCAAGAAACAAACGGCGCAAACAACAAGAACCTAGCTGAAACCCGTGGAATCCGGTCTATGTTTGTAGCTGACCTAAAAGGAAACCTATGAGTCATGGATCGTTTTTGCGTGACACTTCCAGAAATGAGGGGGCCTTGACCATTTCGGTGTCTTTCTTGTGGCTTTAAAGGAGCCAAAAGGAGCGCCACCATTTTGGGGCCCTTTGGCCAGGCCTGGGACCCCGCGAACCCCCCGAGGGCCCCCTGGCCTGCCACCATGAGGAAGACCTCGGCCACCCGGACACGGCCGGCCAGCTCCGGCCAGCAGGGGCCCAGCATCTGCTGGAAGACCAAAGTCACCAGCGGCAGGCAAGATCTCGCAGCGGCCAGATCGGCCAGATCGGCGATTCACCCCACATGAATCACCCCAATATTTCTCAGGGGGGTGTTCCCCTCCAAAAGTGATGATTCCCCACTAAACCCAGAGACCCCGCTAGTAATAAACTGCAGTTGATTCATATGGGGTGAACATTATGTATTCTCAGGATATCGAGTCACTTACCCTCCCACCAAGCAACATGGAACCTGACAGGCGGCTGGAAGACCATTGCTTTTAATTAAAGGGACATCAATCCATTCTCGGGGTCCCGAATTGAAGACACACTCATCTCAATCCCGGAGAGACCGGAGAGAATCAAATTGGTGTTTCTCAAAACAGGCCTGAAATGGGCTATTTCCTTTCGGTATGGGACATTATTTTCATAAAGGCCTAAGTTGCTCTCAATGCGCGCGCCTTTCCAAACACCTGGACCCTTTCCAAACGCAACTCAGCTCACCGCAAGGTGGCTATCAGTCCCTGACTCCTCTTTTTCAGCACCACTTCGAAACACAATGCTGATTTTGGTTGAACATTTGACCAGCATGTTTTTTAGAGCACCAAGTTGATTTTGCAACACACATTTTTAGCTTTCCGGCAAAATAGACAACATGCGAACGGTTCGACAACGGTTTGCGAATAGGTTTTGAAGTTTGAACGCTTTACAAATGGTACTTCCAACGCCGAATCCTAGGCACCGCCTATCAATGATATGCCAAAAGAACGTAAACATGCATTCAATTGCGCAAAACATAATGATTCCTAGCAAGCGACATCGGTAATACAGCGTTCTGTCTGCTCGGCAAGCCCGAACGATTTTTGTAGCACCAATAGTTGAAATTTCAACATCAGGCAGGCAAACGAGCAATTTCCTGCAAAACGATGAAGAGTACCATTTTTTGGAGCAGCAGGTATCTCTTACATGCTTTGGGCGGGCCGCCAGAGCATGCTCCAAAGCACAACACTTTTTTTTCTCTGGGGTTTGCCTCCGAGGGCTAACCGGCTAACCTATAGCCCTTCAGCCGGGGCCTGATGATCATGTTCAGCGACACTGCCAGCAAGGACAGGCTGAAGTTGTTGAGCCCGATGTTCACCGAGAAGGCGAAGGAAAAAAGGATGACGCAGGCGACCTGCATACATCGCAAGGCTGAGCAACACATTGGACGGTGGCAACACAGTCCGGTTGGATTGAGCTTCATTTGACTGACAGTATTGCTCGCACTTGCATGTCAGCCTGTTTTCGTCTGTGTTTGTGTTTGTGCTTGTGCGTGAATATATTCGCGTTCGAGTTCGGGCTCACACTTGCGTTAGCGCTTCTGTTTCCGTTCGCGCTCGCGGTTGTTCGCAGTCCAGTTCATGTCTGCGGTTCCGTGCGGGTCCGGGTGCCAGTTCCCGCTCGCATTCCAGCTTGGGCATTCGCGTTCGCGTTCGGGGTTTAAATTCAGGTTCGGGTTGTATTTCTATTCTCTCTGAACTTGTCTCTTTTGTATCTGCGTATGGTGCGGGCGCGTGCGTGCGTGCGTACGTGCGGGCGTGCGGGCGTGCGGGCGTGGGTGGGTGGGTGGGTGGGTGTGTGTTCGTGAGTGTGTTCGTGTGTGTTCGTGAGTGTGTTCGTGTGTGTTCGTTCGTGTGCAGTGCTTGCATTCTTGTGTCTGTGCGCATGCATGTGCGCCAAGGTCTAGTGGTTCCTGCAATATTTGCTGTCATGCTTTATGCCTCATGGCGCAATCAAAATGTTTGCACCTCTGACCACGAGTTCAGCTTCCTCGGCGTGTAGCGGAAAGGCGTGGGGAAGAGGACGCAAACGATGGTTGCCAACCTGGGCCGCAACCAGGAACTTTCATCTCAAGCGGACAGTCCATGGTGGGGTTCGCAAAGTCATGAGCCATTGGCCATGCATTGGAAACCAATCCTTGCCCCCACAAACTCCTTCTCCTAAACCATTTTCAACTGGGTCAGACCGGCTGGACTGTGTCGTCGCGCGGTCTCAGCAACCTATGGTTCCCCTTCACAGGCCGCTTTCAAGCGCTTTGAGCAACGGCTCTTTGCGATTTCCTCTGGGCCACGGACTCCAAGAAAAGGACGGAGGCTCATTTTCCTTCCGCAAATGTCCACTGGCCCCATTGTTTGTGCATATTCAAGGTTACCAAGTGGGCAATTAAGGAAGGAACTTGACTTGGAACTGACCATTTGGAGAGTGCAGCTTACCCAAAGGGAAACCAACAAAACAATCACCCAAACTGGGATTCTTCCGAAGATTTCGACACGCAAATAAATGAGTCAGTCTTCTTTTGAGGGTACCCCTTTTCGGTTGGTTTTGAAAGGGAAAGGACAACCATCCGGAAGTGGGTTTGTCATTTTTTGAGGGTATTGTTTGGTCGGATTTGGGCAGCCAAACGGAAAACTGTTGCTGCCATTTTTCGGGGATGACATCAAATCCAAAATTTCGGCCAGGCGCACGGCAAAGGCTACCACCTGCTGAATGGCAGTCACCAGGAAGCCCGCAGGGATGCCATCCAGGCCCAGCTCCTTCGATAGGAAGGGGTGCCTTTTCCCCCCGGCGTGGAATAGAATTTTCACGGGAAAGGAAAGGAGCATTCTCCAAAAAGAGGAAAGCAGTAGACATGGGAACCAATCGCCCTGCCAGCAATCAACCACGGGCAAAAGCTGGGAAACTGGGAACTCTTTTTGGTTGGTCTAGTCTTTTTTCTGGAATCCCTGCAACGTGTCAAAAGATGAATTGGAAAGTGGGGCTTTCATCCTTGTGGCCGGAGTCCCTTGGTATAGGGCGCGTGGTGGGGTAAAGGGGGTATGGCGGGCAACCATACAATCAGCCCACAGTGAACCACTCTGAAAAACAAGCTGCACGCGTATTTGTTTTTGCCAAAGCCTTCCCTGCGCCCCGAACTGTCCCGCTCTCCTGTGAGATGGTCGTGCTGGAGAGGACCACCTTCATGTAGAGACTGAACCCCGCCTCGAGCGGAGTTCAGCCGAAGGCGCCGGCAGCTGGTGGCCAAGCAGGGCGAAAATACAGTGTGCTGGGGTGCAGGAGTGGGGTGGGGTGGGGTGGGCGGAGAACAGAAAACTCAATTTTGTCCTGCATATTTGCATTTGTGTGAATGCATGCATGTAGGCATGTAGGTATGTACGTATGCCTGTATGTATGTGACAGTACGTACGTACGTACGTACGTGCGCACGCACGCACGCATACATGCAACTATGTATGTGTATGTGTATATCTATGTGTATCTATAAATACATACGTACATGCATGTTTGCATTTATGTATCTGTGTGTGTGTGTGTGTGTGTGTGTGTGTCTGTCTGTGTGTGTGTGTGTGTGTGTGGGGGTGCATGCGTGCGTGCGTGCGTGCGTGCGTGCGTGCGTGCGTGCGTGCGTGCGTGCGTGCGTGCGTGCGTGCGTGCGTGCGTGCGTGCGTGCGTGCGTGCGTGCGTGCGTGCGTGCGTGCGTGCGTGCGTGCGTGCGTGCGTGCGTGCGTGGGTGCGTGCGTGCGTGCGTGCGTGCGTGCGTGCGTGCGTGCGTGCGTGCGTGCGTGCGTGCGTGCGTGCGTGCGTGCGTGCGTGCGTGCGTGCGTGCGTGCGTGCGTGCGTGCGTGCGTGCGTGCGTGCGTGCGTGCGTGCGTGCGTGCGTGCGTGCGTGCGTGCGTGAGTGCGTGCGGGCGTGCGTGCGTGCGTGCGTGCGTGCGTGCGTGCGTGCGTGCGTGCGTGCGTGCGTGCGTGCGTGCGTGCGTGCGTGCGTGCGTGCGTGCGTGCGTGCGTGCGTGCGTGCGTGCGTGCGTGCGTGCGTGCGTGCGTGCGTGCGTGCGTGCGTGCGTGCGTGCGTGCGTGCGTGCGTGCGTGCGTGCGTGCGTGCGTGCGTGCGTGCGTGTGTGTGTGTGTGTGTGTGTGTGTGTGTGTGTGTGCATCTATGTATGTATGCGTAGATGTGTGTGTGTGTGTCTGTGCGTATGTGTGCGTACAATGCGTGTATATATAGTTGTACATCTATGTAGACATGACTTGCAAAAATGCATCTATCTATCGATCCATCAGCTAGACACATCCATCATTTATATCTGTCTTCGTCTGTGTCTGTCTATCCTAATATACATCTCGGTCGGTCTGTCTGTCTGCCTGTCTGTCGCTCTGTCTATCTATGTCTGTAGGTAGGTAGGCAGGCAGGTAGGCCGGCAGGCAGGCAAGCAAGTAAGCAGGCAAGTAGGTAGGAGGTATTGTTGTGATGTACCTCTCCATTTGTTGATATATTTATCAAACTGTAAAATGCATGTGTCTGTCACATTCCCAACGTCATGGACATAGGTGATATTTTGGAAGAATAGCTGGGCTTGTGAACGGAATAAAACCAATCGGAACCCATCTATTTTGCTAACCAAACTAGCCGAAAAGGCCGCCTATGGCTATGAATCTCTGCCGATCCCAATGAGCGCGGGACCTGTGCGCCGAAGTAAACTGCCAGAACGCCGGCGGTGGTCTGCTGGCACATTAGCAGCAGCAGTCCTCACGAGATGTTCAAACTGGGATATCCTGCTGTTGGTTTCAGGAAATGTCTATTCTGTGAGGCTTCTTAGTTTACGAAGACACCCCCGTACTATGGACAAAAATCATGCAGTCTAGAAATTTAACAAGTATTCATAGGGCTTCATCCATGGCAACAGGCGCAGGAACCTGTCCATACATTCCCAAACTAGAATGGAAAAGAGCCCTTCATCCTGGGTGAGTTCAAAAAACCCTTAAAATGGTGGGCTCATTGCAACATGGTGATCTTCCAAACAGCCTACTTTGGTCTGGGCAGCCCGCGCAGCCGCCACCACTTTCCATGTTTGAGGGCTTGGGGCTGGACTGGGCTAGTGGAAGGTTCTGGCTGGAGCTTGGGGGCTGCTGGGAGGCTTGACTTGGGCTGGGAGGGGAATGGAAGGCAGGGCTTGGCTAGAGCACGGCTGGTGCAGAATGAGGGGAACCAACCCTATTGTCCCACTCATAACCAGGAGATCTCACCCACTGGTTAGTTGGACAGCAAAGAGGGGGTGAAATAGACACCATGTCAGTGTCTCAGCTGGTCGGTCCAACTCTCACTGCCACTGCCACACCTAACCTCCATGTTTGCTGGCGCACTTTGTTCCCTTCTCCTTCGCTCCTTTCGCGCAACTGGCGGGAGACATGCAGCGGTTACATCTTCGAGGGAAAGCCTTCAATTCAGAAGTTGTCAAGGGCTCAACTCTAAAGTCAGCGGCCACAGCCAGGCACGCTGTGCGGCAAGGCCTCAAAGGACCCGAGCCCGAGCCGTGCGCTCCGGCCCCGGTTTTCCGCTCCTGACACGAAGGCGCCCGCCGGGATCATCGCTTCCTGGCGAAGACGAGCCAAGGAAGTTGTCCCAGACGCGGTCTTGATATGCGGTCCAAAGAACATACTCTTGTCAATGGCGTACATGGTGTAAAGCATGCTCGATGCTCTTCGCACTTCTTAGGTCTCCCCATTTGCGGACAACTCATTCCTCGCAATGCAGCTGAGCTGTCTCGTTCAGGTGGAGCTTTGCTAAAAACTCATGGAGTCTTCAAATCGAAGTAGGCACTGCAACACCAACACACGAGGTGTATGAGGTGTATGATGTGACAGACTCTGAGCTGAATGTCAGAAGAGAACTGTGCACTGCCTCCACCATAATCATTGGCCAAAGCAGCAGACATCCCATTGTCGCTGGCGCAAACAATGCTACTCATTCCACTACAGGCCAAGCAAGCCAAGCCTCAGGCTACCTAGAAGCCATCCTGCGAACCTTTGCTCTCAATACCCGACAGCTCTCTGCCAACTAACTCCCTCGATTGATGGAGGCCTGCATGTTTGCATGTCCGCATCCGTTTGCGCCTGGCCGCTGCTTTCGAGGCGCCGGAAATCGCGAGATCGCGAGCCTCCAGCAGCTTGTTCTGGTTGCTGTGGTGGTGGTGCTTCTTCCCCTTGACCTCGCCCTTCTCCTCCTGGACGGCTGAGGTCGGGGGGAAAGCACCAAAGGAGCTAAGCCAAAGGAATAATTTTGGTCTGGCGCTTCAAAGAACAGGCTCTTCGAGCCCTCAGCACAGCGTGTGAAGCTCCCAGCACTTCGAATCATTTTGGGAATGGATTCTCATTTTGGTCGTAGTCACAGCCCAGGAGAATTCGCTGACTCTGAGCGCAACAGCTTTCCGGACACACCAGAAATACAGCCGAAAAGAGTCAAAAGCCAAACATTAGGACCGAAACGGTAGCGTGTGATGCACGCCCGCACACGTGTCACACATCAGACAGGATATGAGTCTGGACAAACAATTCGAAAACCATGAAACACATTTAAAAGGAGGGAGTATGAGGGAGTCCTTTTGGGGTCAAACCGTCCAACATGGGCTACCAACTCAGTGCCACACCCTTGCGCCCCATGCACAGCCATCGGCTGCCCGTCCTTGTTTTCTGGCTTCTTCGCCTTTAGGGCCTGATCACCGTGCCCCGGGGCAAAAGTCAAAGAAACAACAAACAAAACAGACAACAACAAACAAAGAGAGAGAGAGAGAGAGAGAGAGTGCAAAAGCATGGGGCCACGTGGTATTTGCCAGATCATTGAGAAAGAAAATCCGAAGGGTTCTGTCACCAGAGAGTATGCGGCATTGATGTGCGTTGCCGTTCACAACATGGACAGAAGAAACAAAATCCGCCAGCAAAATTGAACGTGATGGCTAGGCATGATTAGTGGAAGTATGATTCAGCCAAGTACTGGTTGTAAGTTTGGCCCCGACTCTCTATTCAACCCGTTCAGAAGTCGCCATGGGAGAATAGCACCTGTCCTCCCATCGTGGAAATCGACAAAATATAGAACCGCTCGGAAAAATGGCCCCTCCCTCTTTCCATCATGGGCATATACATCAAAGAAATTGGTAACTAGCTTGTAGAATTGCTCTTGCAACGACAGACTTCATGTTGCAGATGTTCTGAAGGCCTTCTATCCACGACCTCCAGCAAACTGCGACTTCCCTCTCTGCAATCTGCCATGAATAATCTACGCTACTCTTCTTGCCTGTATTGTTCGACACTTCCGGACCTGCGTAAAAATTGCCCAAGCGAACGTGCTACAACTGGCCCGCAGCCCTGTGGCTGCTTGCTTTTCGTGGTTAATGGGAAGCAAATTGAAAGCAGCATTCACAGGAGGTTCTCCAATTTGGGAAACACCCGTACGACGTCTTCAGCCGCCGCCTTCAGGCTATGACATTGCTCCAATGAGCCTAGCGTATGTATAGAAAGCTGATTCCTGCAAAAGGAAACCAAACGGAATGCAGCAAACACTGTTCACTAGAATCTAGACGCCCTTGCGGTTTGATCAATTTTTAGCTCGGAGCAAACCCTTTTGAGCTTGCCAGCCTGGTCAAGGCCCCTTAGCTCGATTCGTCAGCTGCCAACTCCAAAACCGCCAGAGGATGGGCCGCGACTAAGGTAAAATTACACAGAAAAGAATGTTTTCGTTTGCCTGTGCTCTCAAGGATTTTATTTGGCTTCCAGGCAAGCCTTCCTGGTCAATCTTGAATAACCACGGAGTAGCAGGACCTTCGTTGGATCTACCACCCAAGGTCGTGGCTGGTTGACCACATATAAGTATTCTTGCGGCGACCAATGCGGTGCTCAAACATCTCACTGCATTGCTGTCCATCAAGTTTTGACACCCGTCGCCACCTGCGGCACTCGCCAGGGAGTGTCATGGATGCTTCCCTGCCAGTGACATCCAGCCAATCCGCTTACTCTCGCAACAACTACTATGGAAATGTACAATGGGTCTCATAAAGGATGCTAAGGACACTGCAGTTTTGAAGGTGACCATATTCACCGTTCAACGTTTGCAACGGGAGCACACTGGCTAATTCCTGGGGTGGGTTCAGTCTTTGCGCGCAGTTCTCATTCGATTTCCAAACCACGGACTCCATCTTTTCCCACCACGTCAGTACCATCACCCAACCCCCTTCAAATCCCCACATTATTCCTGCCAGGAAAATCTGAGGACAGCCCACATCGAGCCCCCCCCCTCCCCACCCACAGCAACCCCTGCCTCCTCGGCCCTGGCCTCCGCAGCCATGGCCTCCGACTGCCGCCGCAGCGCCTCGCGGTTCGCAGACTCGGCCTGGCGCGAAGCGAGGAAGCTCGGCGCCGATGGCAACAAGGAAACATCCAAACTGAGATTGAGAAAAGATATGCTTGAAGTTTGGAACAACCAGCTCTTTGGTTTCCTTTGAAACCTTATGTAGTTGGCAAGTTGCGGCAATGACCAGCTCTTACTGCTATAAGTCAAAAGGTTGCAACAAAGGTGCCTGTGTGTGCTTGCGCGTGTGCGTGCGTGTGCGCGTGCGCGTGCGCGTGCGCGTGCGCGTGTCTGTGTGCGCGTGCGCGTGTCTGTGTGTCCGTGTGTCTGTGTGTCTGCGTGTCCGTGTGTGTCTGTGTGTCTGCGTGTCTGCGTGTCTGCGTGTCTGTGTGCCTGTGTGTCTGCGTGTCTGTGTGTCTGCGTGTCTGTGTGTCTGTGTGTCTGTGTGTGTGTGTGTCTGTGTGTCTGTGTGTGTGTGTGTCTGTGTGTGTGTGTGTCTCTGTGTGTGTGTCTCTGTGTGTCTCTGTGTCTGTGTGTCTGTGTGTCTGCGTGTCTGTGTCTGTGTCTGTGTGTGTGTGTGTCTGTGTGTGTGTGTGTGTGTCTGTGTCTGTGTGTCTGTGTGTGTGTCTGTGTGTGTGTGTGTCTGTGTGTGTCTGTCTGTCTGTCTCTGTCTGTCTGTCTGTCTGTCTGTCTGTCTGTCTGTCTGTCTGTCTGTCTGTCTGTCTGTCTGTCTGTATGTCTGTCTGTCTGTCTGTCTGTCTGTCTGTCTGTCTGTCTGTCTGTCTGTCTGGCTGGCTGGCTGGCTGGCTGGCTGGCTGGCTGGCTGGCTGGCTGTCTGTCTGTCTGTCTGTCTGTCTGTCTGTCTGTCTGTCTGTCTGTCTGTCTGTCTGTCTGCCTGTGTGTGTGTGTCTGTGCGTGTCTGTGTGTCCTACTTTTTCTGCATTTAGCGTGTGTGCTTGCGTGTGTGTATGTATATGCACGTGCGTGGCTGTGTGTTCGTGTGCGTCTCTCTCGCTCTCTCTCTCTCTCTCTCTCTCTCTCTCTCTCTCTCTGTCTGCGTGTGTGTGTGTGTATGTTTGTGTGGATGTGGGTGTGTTTCGTGCGCGGTCTGCGTCTCTGCGTCTGCCTCTGCCTCTGTGTCTGCCTCTGATGTCGGTTTGTGCTTGGGTGTTTGTGTGTTTGTGCGCGTGTGTGTGTGTGTGTTGCATGTGTGTCTAGCTGTGTGCGCATGCCTGTGCGCGCGCGCGTATGTGTGTGCGTGCGTGTGCGTGTTGCGTGTGTTTACTGCTGCTGCTAAGTGTTTTGTAAAAGCTAAATAAAACCTTAGTAAAAAGTGTTGAGTGCTTATAAGCAGTGCAAAGTGCTGACTGAATTAATGATCTTACGTAGAAAGTAGCTAACATGTGTCAATGTAGTAGTTAAAAAGTAGTTATTAATAGTTAGCTACAGCATTAGCTAACTTTGACTTCTGCTTAGCACACTTAGTAATGGGCTAGTAAGGGAATAGTAAGGTATGCGTTTGGATTGCCTGCAATAGTGCCACAAAGGGCCAAAGCAATTTCAAATGTTGTTTGTAAGGGCCTGGATTTTCTTTAGCATATGATTAGCTTACCTCTTTGCTGCATTCGGCTTTGGCAGTTTGCCTCCTCACTAAGCTTGATGGTAAGCCAATTGGGCTATGGTTTTGTTAGCAGCCTGCACAGGCTCGCAGTTAAGGGGCTTCTTCATCTTTCTGGGGTGTTTGCTCCTTTTTTTGGAGTTAGCCTGCACCGGCGAACCGGCCCCCTTTGTTAGTACCATGTGGCGGTGATGCAGGCTCTGACGAGTAGCCATCACATGGGAAAGCATCGGGAAGGTAAACCGACGAAACTCCTTTTTCAGTTTGCAAGTTTCCTTGTTTGCGGTTTTCCTTGTGCACATGCCTTGCATTTGAACTGTCTCATATCAAGTGTGTCTCTGTTTGTGTGTGTGTTTCTGTGTGTGTGTGTCTCTGCGCATGTGTGTGTGTGTCTCTCTGTCTGTGTCTCTCTTTGCCTGCCTGTGTCTGTGTTTGTTTGTGTGTTTTGTGTGTGCGCGCGTGCTTGTGCGCCTGTGCTTGGGATGTGTTTGGCAGGATGTGACTAGGGGGGTAGGAGCAGTTTTGTGAAGACCTGCTCAATGCTGATCCGCACTTTTTCTGAACAATCATCTAGTCGAAAGCAACTCGGAGTCGAGGTTCCTTTCATTCGCGTGCGCGCCACTTTACGGGCAACGGGAAGGTCACAGTCAAGACCTTGTACTAGCAGGGTCTGTGCTAACCTGTTCAACACGGGAACGACAATAGATATCAGATTTAATGGTTGGGATTGACCCTAACCTTCATCTGGTTAGGGTCTGACTGCGCCACAGAAATAACAACGCACAAGCCAACGAAAGCTTGCAGCTTCCTGGCTGCAACTCGATTCGCTGAATCATCGGAGCCTTCGCCTGGAATGCCATCCGAAGGCGATTAGGCGACCGGGATGGGGTTCACATGGATACGTGAGCTGAGCTCCAACCACGTGATCCAAATGACTGATAGTCCAAAGGCGTCAAAGGGGACCCCAAAGAAGAATCAAAAGGCTGGCTGCACTGCACCTGTTTGCAAGTGGGACTATGCCCTACTAACAATCTACCGAAGGATTGGTTGCAGTTTGGATGCGTTCATGTAGGCGTGGTGTCTGTTGCGGCCACCGCAAGGGAGCACTCGTGCAATCATAGAAACCCGAACTCATAAATATAAATTATCAATATTACCTCAAGACTGACCCCAACCAAAATAAGACGCTTAGAATCTGGTACATGTTGGCTGGCCGGTTAGAAAGATCAGAGTTGCGCATACCCTTGGCTTGTATGGTCCCTTCTCTCGGCTCCCAGGAAGTGAGCTTCCATAGTGAACCTGAGCTCTTTCTATCTGGCACTTGGCGGACACCACAAGCCAAAGGCCGCCTTTAATGGCTCCAACCAAATTTGCAAATGTACGCAAGCCATGTTCGTCGTTTCCAGAAGTTTGCCTGTTCTTAGTTCACCCGGCGGTGCACGCTGCGGGGCTCTTGCTGTAAGTGTAAGGCACGGTTGGTTTGGAGGCTCGCCTTGTGCTTCAAGGGCGTGCGGTCGCTGTGGCGGCTGTGGTTTAAATTCTGCAAACGGCGAGCTTAGGTGGCACGGTGCGAATTTTGAGCGTCATCGAAAGTGAGCCCTCTGCGGACTTTGGCTGTCTTCGATCCATCTCGCTGTGGCGCGGTGTTGGTTTGGAACATCGAAAGCTTGCGGCGTGAACTCTGAGCATCGGCGAACTGCTGCGGGCTTTGGCAGTCTCAGATGCTCTGGCTGTGGTGCGGTGCGCATGTTAAATTTGCTTGCATGTTAAATTCGCTTGCGGTCCAAGCCTCTACGCACTTTGCGCGTGCCAAAGCCATGTTTAGACGTGTAGTCCTCCCAGAGATCTTCGAAAAAAGTCCTTTGCAAAGATTTTGTACAGGGACACCTTCGGGACCCTCTAGAGCTCCTTTTATAAACACCCCACCAAAAGACTTGCGGAGATCTTGCACAAATCTTGCACACGTCAAGATCCTGCAAGTGATCTTGGAACAGCACTCTGGGCTCGTGGTCTTGTTTCTTCTTTTCACTAAACCAGCAATTTGGGGACTCCAACAGGCTTTGTCTAGTGGTAGTACTGTTTTAGAACCCTCTCGATATCCTATGCGGGTGGATCCGCAAAAGCCACATCCAAATCCTACCCTGATTTCGGGCAACCATAGTTACTGAAAGATACTCTCCTGCTGCTCAAAAATAGATCATAGCCTTCTCAAAGTTTATGTTTGTACTTTGGGCAGTATGTTCAGAAGTCCCATGGTAGAAAAGGGACATCTCAGGGCCCCCTCTTCAGCCTCGCCGGCTTCTGAGACGGAAAAAGCACAGGAACCGTGCTTACCGTTGCGAACAAGCCGCGCACAGAGACATCAAATCCGGTGTGCGGGATTTTCCCGATGCTGATCAGCTGATTGGAAAAGCAAATTGTCGGCAAATCACGCGAATTCCCTTGGGCCGTATCTGCTAGAAAGGGCTTGGTTGCCGTAAAAACAAGATAACTCAGAGGGAGAAAGAGAGTGAAATGTCACGAGGTTTCAAGGCCCCATGCACTCCAAACAGCCGAAGTAAGTTCAGACTCGGAGCCTCCTGGCAAAGCATATTGAACAACTTTTCTGGCCATATGTTTTCTTTAGCATGCTGCGTAGTGCACCCAAGGGTTACAGCCGGCAAGCCTGAGTCCACGTAGTAATGTATGCGTCAAACGCCAACTAGTCACTTGGTGGCGGCGTAGCGCTTTGCGCTTCGGGCTGTCCGCCCGACACACGTCCTTCAATTTGACCGTGGCGCCGTCCATCTGAGCTGCATGTTCATACTTATGCACATATGCCGCTTCTGTACGGCCAGATAGTCCACAAGTCGACACACCTAGCAACGGTATGGGAAAGGGCCCGAGGTTTATGCAACCTATACCTGATCTTGCTTCGTGAACCTGTGGCTGCAGCAGTTTCGACACGGGCATCTACCCGAAAGCACTCCCTGAGTCAGAATCAAAACTAGGAAGGAATGGCACATATTGCTCGCAAGAATGCGTGCCGGCTCAGTCTTGATGACGGGTTGAATTAGATATGCAACAGCCATAAAGCTTCTGTGTAAAGGGTATATACTTAGCTCTTCCATGGGGTAGTGGTTCTCAAATTCTTAAACACCTAGTATTCGCGCTGGTTATGCCCCAACGCGCACTCGCGCAGCTGCAGCCGCTGTAACTTGTGCTCGCCGCTGACGCTTTCGCTGCTTCATCTCTTGCTGATCGCAGAGGTGACAGTGCGTGCAATCGCTTCCCTTCCGACACCCATCCGCCATTCGCAAATGGAAGATGCAGGGAACGCACTGGCCAGTTCGGTGGAGGTACACCGCGCGCGGCTCATCCCAAGGCTTGGTCCAAAGGCAAAGGCACGGTGCTGAGTGTGTTCGGGCGATGTCTTTCCGCGGCACATGGGTTTGCCCCTCCTTGGTCTTTGACCTCCAAAAGTCGTTAAAACTGTTTAGTAGAGAAGTCGGAAAGCATTTCCAACATGGTTAAGATGTCAAAGGTCGTACTAAAGAGCAACCAAGCCTCCTTCAATCCATTCGGCAAGGGCTCTACGTTCACCGAGCCGTTTCTCACCGCCACAGCGTAATGCTTACCCTCGGCCTTCAAGGTGTACATGATGCTCCTGCAGGGCCAGCTATTGACGGAGTCCAACAAAACATTGCACGCCAGCCACGATTCAAGGAACGGGTCTGTGGGGGGGAATAAAACCCTCTCAAATAGGAGAACCCCCAGTACATGTTCAAGAGCTCGTTTACCCATCGGTCTCTATGCCCAGAAGCATATTCCATTCCCTGGCACAATTCAACAGTTGCGGAGGTGCTGGCTGCGTCTTAACATAGCGGGGCCCAGAAAATGACTGGTGTTGCTTCAGGTTTCGCTTTTTTACCAACCCAAAACGGGTAACTACCCTCAAAAGAAAGACACACTCCTTTGGTTTGGAGCCCCAGAAAAAGGAAACTGAGGCGCCTGCGGAAACCTCTCCTGCAGCTTTTGATCGGAATCGAGGGCCCATACGCGTGTATGTATTTTTCGAGAACACCCGCTTGAAGGTTGGTTGAAAGGGAAACTCAACGAACAACCATTTGTTGGGTCCCCCTATCTTGATACCCACATCCACGGACAAAGGAGAAAACCACCGCAACGAAACCAGCCGCTCCAGCCAAACTCGTGAGTCCAACCAACCCCCTCTCGAAAGACAGCCCCAAGGCACAGCCGGCCGGTCCTTTCAGACATCATCCGCGGGAAACAAACAACAGAGTGGTGAATTTGAGCCAGAGCTCCGGCGCAGATCAAAATTCCGCCTCCGGAATCTGTGTCGTTGAAGCTCGGTGCCTTTGGGCTGAATCGCGAGTTTCGAGACGAACACGTGCGCACAAATAAGTGTTGCCTGCAAACAGAAAAACTGGACATCCCCAAATGGACGGTGAGTTCGCTTGTCTGAGCCTGCAGAAACCGGCGTGTGTGCGTGCGTGTGTGTTGTGCGTGTGCGTGTTGTGTGTGTGTGTGCCTCTCTCCCGCTCTCGCCCTCTCTCTCTCTCTCTCTGCCCTTGATGATGTACCTCACCGATGTGCTCTGTCAGTTGCAAGGGTGATCTCCACTTCGCACTAGCGGGGGGTCCCAAGATTTGTAAAGCCTATGGCATTTTGAGAAGGGTGGTAATGCTCCCCTTTTGTCCACCCAGGATTGCCTTCTTGTAGGGCACGCTTGCAAGATTTGAAGACATCCGCTGGACAACTCTGCAGGAACCAGGGTTTTGAGTCGGTGGCCTTTGACAACTTCCTGTGGAAGTTCCTGTAGCTTGATTCTCTTAGGTTTATTCAGACACATTCTTAAGGACTATCGCCACGACCCGATCAATATTCATATTTCCTGTTTGGACATCGACATCGGTATACACTCCAAACTCATACGGAGTATAGGCAGACCATTTACATGCCGCTTTCGGACAAACAGGGGATTCCCCGTCTTTTTGTTCCTTTTAAGAACCCCATAAAACACACGCCCGTGGGCTTCACGCCACATTGGCCTGGAAGGATTCCACCTGCAAGTCATGAAGGTTGGGCTCCTCCGTCTTGCCTCCCAGTCCGCAGGTTCCGAAGGCTCCGAAGGTTCCGAAGGTCGCTCGAGCGACGGAGACCAAGGCGCTGCGTAGCCATGCTGAGGGAGTCCAATTCTTTGATTTCGGAGAGCGAATCAATTCGGGACAGTCTGACGGCACACCCAGAAACCAGTACATCCCATCCGTCTCAAATGCAGCGCACTCAGAGAAGACAAGCGCAAAGCTGTTTCAATTCTACATGCAAAACCAAAACCACGCATTGGCGACGCTTGCTACCTTGGTCTCACGGGCACTCAAGAACATCCGATTCGGGTACTCTCCCAGGGGTTTAATCAATCAGGAACCCCAATGTGGGTCTGTCCTTTTTGGAGGGTACCGAAAAAAGAAAAAAAGAAGAAAAAAAGGAAAAACGCAATTTTAGGGGGCACATAAACCCAGTTGACGAAATTGTCTTAGCCTCCGTCTCAAAATTGCGCCTCTCAAGGTGACCCGCTCAAACATGATATGCATTCGAATGCCATTGCCCATCAAGTCGGCCAATGCTTAGTACATGCTTCTGGCTGCACACAGCTCTCGGGACAAAGGTTAATACCTGCCTTTCTTTCAAAAGTGCTGATGCTTAACGAGTGCTTGCTGATGTCACAGGCTTTGGAGTTGGTTGATCGCCTGTCCCTCATTGACCACATCTCGGCCAAGTCACCGGCTATGCGTGTCAAACTTTTCTGCAGCAGCTCAGTCCTTATGTGCTCGACTTCCTGGCCGAAGACATCTGCACTTCTCTAGCAAATCATCACAAGTCTGGAGCTGTATATATGTATATATAAATAAATATATATATATATATATGGTCACCCCCCCCCAGGGCCTACCTTTGCCCTCTTTTAGTTGAAGGTGTCAACTCTACTCTGTGTGCCTCTTTCTTGCAGATGCCTGAAACCACTGTAAAATACAGTGTTTTTGTTGTTTTTTTACCTTCTATGTGACAGCAAATGTCTGATTATTTGAGGCTTGAAAGGCAGCAAAGCGAAAACGGATTCCGTTTTCAGATTCGAGCCTGGCTTTGATTGAATCACTGGTTTTTACAGTGGTTTTTGAGTACACCAGGGAAAAACATTGAAAACATGATGTTTTTGGCAGCTTTGAGCTCTGCAACCTGCACAGACCCAAAAGCACAAAATCTCCTAAAAATGAAAGCTCTGAGACCTGCACATGCCAAACACATCTCCAGACCAAGTTTGGGAGTCTGGGGATATGTGCCCTTTATTTGTTTAGCCACATTTAAGCTAAATCATATTTGGGAATGAGTTACTATTAAAATTTGATTGCAAAGGCCAAGTGATTTCTTTCCAGAATAAGCTATATTCCAATTCAAGCTGTATTTGGGGATGGATTCTTGATTAAATTATTATGTTCAAAAGCTAATTGAATTCTGTCTGCATTAAAGTATATTTGGATTCTACTGCAATCATATTTTCCTTATTTGGAAAGGTATTCCTGTTCAAATTCTGATCTAATATAGACATTATGGTGAATTATGAATGGTGGTGAACTATGTGCTTACTAAATTCTATTCAATATGCAAATTCAATTCGGATCAAAATCGTATTTGGAAAGGAATGTGTACTTGGATATGTTGGACTCCAGGCTCCAAATTATGAGGCTTGGAGAATCCAACATTAGACATCTCAAGGATTCTGATCTCCAGATTCTAGGTTTCAGGGGTTTCAAATTGGACATTTCAAGGGATTAGAGATCCAACAAAATGCTGTAAAACACAGTGTTTTGCAGCAGTTGCTCAGATTGTGTTCCCTTGGACCGAAGATTTTTTCCTCAAACAACAGTTTTCCCTTCAACATTCCAATTCAATTCGCAGTATATTTGGAAAGGAATCTATATTTAAAAATGTTGGAGGACTCCCAGCTCCAAAATAGGAGGCTTGGAGAATCCAACACTAGACATCTCGAGGATTCGGATCTCCAGATTCTAGGTTTCAGGTGCTTCACCATGGACATTTCAAGGGATTGCAGGTCCAACAAAAAACTGTAAAACAAAGTGTTTTGAAGAAATTGCTCAGATTGTGTTCCCTTGGGCCGAAGATTGTTCATTTCCCAAACAACATTTTGCCCCCTTCAACATTCCAATTTCAATTCGTGTTGGAGTACTCCAGGCTCCAAATTATGAGGCTTGGAGAATCCAACATTACACATCTCAAGGATTCTGATCTCCAGATTCTAGGTTTCAGGTGTTTCAAATTGGACATTTCAAGGGATTAGAGATCCAACAAAATGCTGTAAAACAGAGTGTTTTGCAGCAGTTGCTCAGATTGTGTTCCCTTGGACCGAATGGACAGCCTTTGATATAACAGTGCAGCAGTGATGACACACCCACACACAATCATCAACCTTTTAGGACCACATGCCCAAACCACATCAAACAAGGCCTCAAATGAGTGTCCTTTTTTCCCAAACAACAGTCTCCACTTGCTACGCAATAAGCCTACAGAAGGTTTATAAACTTTCAGGAAAGTTTATAAACCTTATTGAGTGTTTGACGAGTTTCCCGCATCAAGGCAACAACACCCTACGAAGTGTTCATGGTATCGTTGAAGGAGGGGGGGGGGGTGGTTGGAAATCTTGGGAGGGGGGGGGGGGGTTGGTCTTGGTTGGAAGTCTTAGCAGTGAGGTGTGACTCAGCCAACTTTGTAAAGACTTCTCAGTACCCCCCCCTGCCCCCCCCCTGCCCTTGTTGCAGGGAAACCGTCAAACCCTTGACATGGTTTATAAACTGTCTTGTAAGTTTATAAACTCTTTGCTGTTGTTACTCAACATGACTTGTCACCCACAAAAAAATATGCAGCAACAGCACACTTCTTGCGTATATATGCTCACACCCCCTGTCTTTAAAAATAAGAGGGTTTTGTACATTTTGAAGTGGAAAGGTAGGCCCTGGGGGGGGGGTGAGCATATATATATATATATATATATATGTGCTTCACAGAGAATTCTCACGGATTGTCCCGCGTCTTTGCGCGTCTTCGAATCTCGATGTGTGGGGTTTCAAAATTATGGACTTAAGCTAATTTCGAGGTCCGACCCGTGCACTTAAGCCCTGCTCCTGTGTCTGCACCTCTGATCGGAGCACATGTCAGAACCGGGACACGATTGAACGTTTGTTTTTGTTTTTGGGCACTCGTGAAACAATGCAAAAACCGGCTGCGCTATAGAAAGTGCAATTTGGCAGCAACAATGGATGCAAACGCCTTCGTCAAAGCAATTCACTACTGGAAGGGCAGCCTGTCAAATCCTGTGGGGTCACTGTGTTGCGGTTGTTTTTAATGCTGAATTACCCGGGGGGCAAAATCGCTGAGTCAAGAAATCCTTAAACAATATGGATTTAAGGGGGTCCCGTGTACTTAAGAGTCGGCCCGTTTTCTGAAACGGAACTTTGCTTATTTTCAGAATTTGCAAGATTCGGTGGCTCTTTGTGTGACAAGAGCATTTTTTGTTGAAACATTGAGCAACCTTAGCATGGTGGGACCGAGCCGTGTCGCAATCAAAAACGTCGCATGTCAGAAGTGCACAATGTTGTTGTTTTTTCGCCGTGGTGGCACATATTGCCAAATGGGGAGCGATGGCAAGGATTAGTGGGAATGCATGGATGATGGTTGATAGTGCGGCTATGCTTGTCCCGGTCTTTGTCCGCGGCACAAGCTCCCGCCTCTTCGCGTGGCCCGGAAGGCCCCGAAATTTTGCCGAAATTTCGGGGGGTTCTTAACAGCTTTGCTTAGAGTTCCCGCGGCGTAACCCGGCCAAATTTTCCCGAATTTTGGGTCGCTTCCGGCGACGCGGCTCTTAGTTTTTTTTTCAGAATTTGGCGGCTTTCCGAAAAAAAAAATACCGGGCCAAATTTCGGGGAAATTTGGGGACCTGTCCGAGTCGAAATTTCTCGAAAATTTCGTGCCGGGTGTCTCCGTATCCTTGCCTCTCTCTGTGTCTCCCAGTCTGTTTCCGTGTGTCCGTATCTATCTGTTTCGTAATCTCTGTCTTTCTCTGTCTATCTTTGTGCATCTCTGTGTATCCCAATCAGTTTCTTTTTGGTGTTTGCGCCTCTCTGTCTCTATCTGGGTATAGCTTAGAGTGAAGGCCGTGAGAATGGGGCTCAGTTCAGCACTAAGCATATGGAGATGGTGCTGTAATCAGGGCAGCTAGTAATCAATGGGGAGCTCCTGCCTTGAGCACGGCCAGCCAAGAATGTTAGTGCAGCCAAATATCGTTGAGTGCAGACGAATTTCCTTTAGCACGTGCAGTAAAACTGTTGTGGTGCAGCCGGAAATTCCTCATGTGCAGCCAAAGTTCCTTAAGTGCCCCCCCCCCCCCCCCGAATTTTAAGCTAATTAGCCGGCAGCCAAAATTCCTTAAGTGTAGCCAAGGTTCCTTAAGTGCAGCCAACATTTTCTGGAAATGTTCGGTGCAGCCAAAGTTCCTTAAGTGCAGCCAGAATTCCTTAGGTGCAGCCAAAATTCCTTAAGTGCAGCCAAACATTCCTTAAGTCCCGGAAAAAACTCCTTAAGTCCGGAAAAATCCTCCATTCCCGTCAACGGAAGATTTTCCTAAAAAAAATCCTTAATTCCGGATTAATTAGCTTAAATTCGGGGGAGGGGGTGAACTTAAGGATTTTGGCCTTTGCCCGCGATGAAGTTCGGGGTGAAATTAGTGTTTTTCAATCTACAAAACGTTACTTTGGCAATGAAAACCACTAATTTCACCTCGAACTTCATCTCGGGCAAAGGCCAAGATCCTTAAGTTCACCCCCCCCCCCTGAATTTGTTGCTGTTCCCATTCACCTCAGTTCCACCTTACGCCACTTTGTTTGATGTATGGGCCTGCCTTTTTTGACCTTGAAACACGTGAGTACATGTTTATTTGATATTGGGCCTTGCTGCAGTGAAAGGCTTGGATCCATGGGTGTTTCCGTGGGGGTTCTGACGAAGGCTGGCGCTGAAACTGGGGTATGTGCTGCGTTTTTCATTGCTGACATCGCCAAATCCCGAAAACATGTCTATCCTCACCAATTGTTCACACCCTGCTTCAATCGGGCTAAACGCGCCAGAAACGTGCTTAAGTGCAGCGGGCGACCTTGATAATTAGCTTACATCCGTAATTAGCCCCCCCCACAAACTGATTCCCTCAAATGGTCTGGTCTGAAGGCCACTGACAGTGTATACTGATTTTGCTCTGGTTTGCAACATGTGTGATCTGAGTCAGAAAATGCAACAAAAAAACATTCGCCGGGTGTGAGTTTCAAACGCTCCAACAAGGCAATGACATCAAGTCCGTATTTTGCATTGTTCCAAAAAATAAATAGCCTTTTCGGGCTGTTCAGCTTCGAAAACACACACGTTTGACAACCATTGGGTTTCAGCAAGACTGAAAAAAGCCCCACCCTTAAGTACACGGCCCCCCCTTAAATCCATAATTTTGAAAGCCAACATCTCGATGCTCTCCTCGTCAACAAAAGACACATGATGCCGAAAGAGGTCAAAGGAGCTCTGCAAAGAATGCCGTTCATCAGATTTGTCAAAAAGAGAACACTTGAGCAGACCTGCCAAGGGTTAGTTCCAGGGGAACACCTGGCTGTCTGTTTCTGCAGTTGATTGTCTTTTTGTGGTTGCTGAAGGGAAACCCAAAGGGAACCTCCCTGGTCATGAGACAAACCCAACTGGACCCGTCCTCAAGGCTGTGCTCAGCACAGGCTTCCTCGCTGTGGCATTCTGCATTGCCTGAGTTGCGCGGACGGAACGGCGATGTCTTACAGGTCAGCTTTGAAACCAGATGGAGTCCGCTGGATTCAAGTCTTACTTCCCAGGGCCGGAGAGATGGGAGCCAATGACCCACTTCAAATAAAGCTGCCCTGAGACAAAGGCAACCAAAAAGAGAGAGAGAGAGAGAGAAAGAAAGAAAGAAAGAAAGAAAGAAAGAAAGAAAGAAAGAAAGAAAGAAAGAAAGAAAGAAAGAAAGAAAGAAAGAGGGATACATATGCTACATATATATATATATATGGTCTACATATAAGTAATATATATATATATATATATACATATATGTATGCGGTGCTGAAGGGCGACCCCAAAAAATGGTGGTGGTCCTTTCGATGACGGGACACCTCTGAGTTTTGCTGTTGCTGGTTGGCATGATCAAAACCCGAGACAAAGGTAAGCCACCGCTGAAAACAAATAGCCAGTTCCGCCGTGGTGAATCCCAGCTCACGGCGGAGCGGCGAAACATCACAACATGAGGTCCATGTTACCTGCGCTTGACAAATGGGTATGACATGTGTCGAGTTGTGCTTAGCTCGAAAGGACCGAAGTGAGGGCTGTTCAACATGAAGGCTACGATCGTCAAACTCACTCTGGTCATGTACCGCTCGAAGCAGCGCTCGCGCGAAATCCACAAAGATGGTCAAGCTTGCTGCATCTTCATAGCTGACATTGAACTACACACTGCTCTCAAACACCTTCCATTCATGCTTGCCGCATGCCGCATCATGCTTAAAGAGAGGCCCAGAGAAGACATTTCCGGCTCCATTTAAGCTGGTGTCAACCTGGGTGGCACCCTCCACATGACTGACCCCAGGCTTGTTGCCGTTTGCCCTGGGCTACAATTGGGTCGGCACTTCCGTTTCATCTGGAGGACCATACTAATCAAAGGAACCTTCCTGGAATCTACTTCCTCTTTAGAAGGGCAACCACGTCTGAGCATGACCGTCTTGATGCTGCAACTTCTAGAATCGCTGCAAAACCTGAAGTAAGGGATCCCAAGTACAAGTAAAAGGACCTACAACACAGTAAGCTCGTTTTAAGGTGAGCTCGCCATTGGAAAATATGCAGACGCGTGTTTTGCACAGTATCCACACCTGGGGACTTGTGGCTTGGTGCCCCCGCAGCACGCGGCCAAAGCCGCCAAGAGAAAGAATCGCATTGCGGGGACGCCAAGCCTTGGAGCGGCAAGCACGAAGGGCAGTAACCATGAAGGGATCCCAGAAAACAGCAGGCTGAACATGTTAGGAATCAGGGTCAGTTCCCTTTCAGTGGGGAATGGATCGGATCCACTTGGTGGGGATCCTCCTAATCGTTTGGTAGTTCGGGTCCGCATATGTCAGGCTTCGTGCAAAACGGAGGGTTGGCCCGATCCTCCATCTTGTGATTGAAAAACACACAGGGAAGCCCTTCAAGGGAATAAGTATTGTTGGCGAACAACCCAGCCAGAAAGAAAAGCACATGCAGGAGCTCGCTCTGCATGCTTCAGCTGTTAATCCATCACATGATCAAAACCAACTGCAATCCCCGAACGCCAAATCAGAACTGAACTGGCGGCCAACAATGCTTCGCACTTCGCAATGGGACCAGCCGGATTCATCCGTAGGAAAGCGCTGGAAGCGCTGTCCAAGCAAGCTACGGGTACCGGTGCCGTGGAAAAGCACATTCCGCTAGAGGCATGAACGCCACAAAACCTGAAGAGCTACATAGTGCGTTGGTATTTCGGGGAATCATCAGAAACCTGGCTTTCTTAGGTGGTGCAGGATTTTGTCCATCCACAGAATGGGAAAAGTCGTGTCTTTGCGTTTGCGTTTACGTTTGTCTTGGCCAGGACATGGTTCCCGAAAACGCGCACCCCGTTTTTTCAAGATTACCTTGGCGCATGATCGCAAAACCGAAAGCACATTTTTGGGGGTGTACATCACTGGCTTGATGGGCCAAACCGCCTTCGCCAGACAAGCGGGCCCAATGACAGGTTTCCTTTGGGTTTGTCTTTAACCAAAAGGCCCCTTTGAACAGACGATCGACGCTCAAGCCAAGGTGCTGGAGGGGTTTCCGCTGGGTCTCCACTTGAGCAAACGGCCAAACGGCAGTCCCTTGAAGGGCTCCCCCTCCCCCTGCAGTTTAAGGGCACACCCAAAAGCAACAAAAGCTCGGTGCTTTCTGCAAAGGCGGTGTTACATAGATCATAGATCAACCTGAGGAAAGCTCTCGAATGAATGGGGCCCGGAAACCAGAGCAGAATAGTGAGGCCGACACGTGCTGATGCGAGTCAAGCTTCATTGGATTAAAACTGTTCAAGGGCGTAGGCTACCAACAAACAAAGTGGTTTGAAGCGATCAGAAGCCCGCACACCCGTTCGCACCTGTAACTATGTTAGGTCCGACACAAGCATGGATCCAGCTGCGCGATGCTCGAAGAATTATGTTAGGAAGTATGACCTATTCCTGATATGTCCTTTAATTTAAGGTGTTTTTCTTGTTGTCTTTTTCTTCAAATGAAAATAGACAGGAGGAACCCTCCAAGTTTCAGGGTCCAAATCCGAGACAAACCCAGGGTTGGTGCCTTCCACTCGGGCAGAGTCGCAAGGCAGCCGACAAATGTCCAGCATCGAAACTCGCCCTTGGGAAATTTACCTGCAGCCAAGGATGTCTCTGATGTCTCACATGCAAGCGATTGCCTCCATTTGCGTAACCAGAATTCAAATATGTCCATTAGTAAGAGATTCCCCTTTAAAAACCAACAGGGGAAAGCAACAAATATTGTTAAGCACATACAAGCGAGTATTAGAACCCGGAGACCAGGGTGCCGGGAGCGTGTAAAATCACGGTGGATTCACGGACAGGCAGACAAGCACAGCAAAGCAGATATTCCGCAGAAAGGATCTCTCTGCTTGTTAAACCCCGAAATGGCTGGCTCCCCTTGGTTGTCACTTTAGTGCAGAAGATCGGAAGGTATGCGTCCTGGGTTTCCAGACCAGAATGCCCTTCAAGTCTACAAGGCTGCAATTGCTGTTGTCTCCCAACAGAAAATTGTCACGCATACTATTCTTCCATTATGTAGCTGCGGGCAACAGCGAGGGTACCATGAAAGTCCCTCACCCTTTCAATCATCCCAAGGGGCCTCGTGAAAGTCACCTTTTAAGCAATCTCAAAAGGGCCAACATCATCCTTCAGATGCCCATGTTGTTTGTGAAAGTGCCGAGTGGTCACTTTCCCACTTTCAGCGGCACGCGCACTTTTGAGCCGCCTCAAAGTCGGAACCGCTCCCAGCGATTTCAGCCACTGTGGCCAAGGAAGGGAAGCCACGTCAGAATAAGAACTTGGCGTGTCAAAAAACAAGGGATCCGCCCAAAACGGGTGTTTTCCTTTTGATGTCCCTTCCAAAATACCCAAACAAGTGCCTGCACAAGAAACACCCACGCAACAAAGGAAGCAAACCGTCAGCTGCCCCCTGCTTTTTTGTTGGGTTGCTCATCTCAGTGGGTCGTCACGGATGAAAAACGAGCGCCACTGCAATGGGAACACCCTCAGTGGTCACTGGCTGGGGCAATGCCCCGGTTTCGGGGCGTCACTCGCGCAGTGCGCGGATTCGTTAGCACCGACAGACCGGATGGGTTACACGCACAGCCGGCCGTTGGCTACTTGAAAAAGTGTCAAAGCCAGGAACCGCGCAAACGGAAGGCTGCATGCACATGTCTCCCAAAATCAAGCAAAAAGTGGTCCCTGCCTTTTGACACCTGTCGCCCATTTGGGTGAAATCTGATGTGGGCCAGGCTCAGCGTCGGAAAAAGACCGGCTCAACCTGTCACAAGCCCGCATTGTCAACGCGACGGGCCCCACATGCACATGGGTCCCTTACAAAATGCGGTGCACGTCGGGCGCTGTTTTCACTCCATTTCTCGGTCAAACGAGAGCTGCAAAATGTTGTCCGGTGGTGCCCCTGTCACGCAGCTGAGCAAACAGCGTACAACAGAGAATGTGCAATGAGTTTGGCCCGAAATACCTAACAAAAAGAGCACGCCCAAACACGCAAGCCTCACCCCAAGCCATTGAATCCGCACTTTGAACACACGCGCATCCAGCAACCAAACTGCCACGCATTCCACCAGCACAATGCGGCAGCCTGTGGTTAGCACATTTGCAAGCAACATATGTTATGGAGAAATTGAAGTTGTATGACATCTTTCAAGCAAAGTCTTCGGTTCTGCGATGCACTTCTCGAACTCTCTGAGAGTCCTGCGTCGCTCCCCGAATCATCATCGTCGGGAGAGGCTCTTCCAACGGCCGGAGCGGCCTGGCAAAAAGACGGCGGAAAAGCGCAACACGAAGAAGAAGAAGAAAGAAAAGAAGAAGAAGGAAGGAGGAAGGAGGAAGAAGAAGAAAAAGAACAAGCAAAAAAACAAAACAAACAACGAGAAGCACAAACAACACGCCAATCTGAGGCTCGTAGATGGCATTTGACCGTATGTTCGAGTAGGCAGTTGTGCAAAATGTAGGCCAATATCACTCAAACGCAGTGTCTGCTTCTATGAAGATGCCGTGATTGATGCCTGGACAAAATGATCATCAGCGTGACTCAAGCAAGGATGTTTTACACAAGAAGCAGCCGCCAACACCCCGACAAATCCGACACACCTGCTCAAGAATGCGAACGTCTTAACATCTTGCTGTGGCCTTGTGACTTCTTTGGACAGTCCCTGAGAGATGCAATGTCATCAGGGCTACATCACGGCGGCATGTGATACAAATACTCAGTCGGCCGTATGCTGTTGGCTTGGGGCCCAGCCCATGGGTATCTAATGTCCAGTGAGAGGACTCCTACGGTGGTGCCATAAACATAAATGAATGTAGTGGCGAAAAAAGGGCCACTCTGGTGGCAATGGAGACCTCGTGTTCCTAGCTTCTAGGTTCCCTTTTTGGCAGAAGGCCCAGCCAGGTCAAGGGAATTCTCAGGCCTAGAAAAGGGGAGCTGTCTGCCGTCCGCCACCCAACCGGTTGCGTACCAGTGTTGCATCCAAATTCTCGCCCCCCACCGCATTTTCAAAGGCGAAATGCTGAGGTGCGCAATTCGCCATGTGCGCCTTTGGACGTATGTCTCAGCAAAACTCCGGCCGGGAGAATAACGGGCCGCCAGGGTGCGGGCCTTTCCGGGTGCCTTCATGCCCGGCAGCGACGCGGGAGGCATCGCCTGGGCTCAGGTTGGCGACCTATTTCTCTCAACCTCCAGAGGCAGCCGGAAAAACGTGTCTTGTTCTGCGTTTTTTGCAGGCCATCACAAGGTGAAGAGAAAACTGGTGCCATACACCCTTCCCAACCTTCAAGAGTAGCAAGCACCAAAACAGCTGCAGCCTGCGACAAGCGCAGAGCCACAACTTGAATTGGCACAGATCTTGATTGCAGAGGTCCCTCCTCGGTATCGAGTTACCCCGAGCAGCCTGGCAAAGCATGACAATCCCCATATTTAGATGGTTGCGCGGAAGTGGTACGCAGCACGTTCAATGTCTCAGGTTTCCCTCGCAAAGACCGGCGCAGCTCTTTGTAGGAAGGTCCATGGAAGCCCGCCCTTCATTAAGCGCTTACAGCTTGTGGTTGCAGCACAGAGGCACTATGTTTGGTACTGCGTGCGAGCGTTGCTGCATGACGCGACTCGGTTGTGTGACTTGCCAGATCAAGCTTTAGCTCGCCGAAAAAGAAGTAGCGCTGC